AGAACATGCATGTGACCTGGCAGAGATTCAGGAAATGCTGCCATATCTATTCAGAGCATTGAGCAGATTAACTTGGAGAATTCTTCCTTCAAGGCCTGTTTATCAAAGACATGTTTGAACTGTGTGTAGTTCATATATTTGGCTTCCATTTAATGATAGGAAATACATGATTGTAAACACAGTAGCTCTATATTCAATTGTATTTGACTTGAGCAAGTTTGGACTTTGCTTTGCTGATTTTCTGTTTACTGTGCAGGATGCTGAACACTGAGATCTAGATTATTTTATGGGTTTTTTTTTTTTTTTTTATCCTTGTGTCTGTATAGACTCTGTTCCTTAGATGATTCCTATTTTGAGATAGATGGTTTAAGCACATGGTACTGTTTTGGGTGGGTTGTTTGGTTTTGGGAGGAGGAGAGTTGGTTTGGTTTGTTTTTTGGTTTTTTTTTTTTACTTTAAAAAGCACATGTATTCAACTTTGCACTTGGTTGCAACAGGTAATAAATGTGCATTTAGCTGGTGCAGCCCTGGTCAACATAGACTTCACACTTGGTATGGTTAAAACTGTCTTGTCTGTTGCAGTGTTATTTGTATCAGTGGATGACACTGCTGTGTGTTGAGACCTGCTGAGCTCTGAAGAGGGAGGGACCTCAGGCCAGTGCAGTCCCATTGACTGAATACCTCTGAGCAGTCAGCAAAGGAACTGTACTGACAGTCTTCTGGCTTAGTTTCACCCAAAGTGACTCCTCTTACACACTCCTTTGACTATTCAGTGATGCAAGCCAGAAGGTAGTAAGAGAAAATCATCAAAAGATGAGCAAAAAGGGTGGCGCTTCAAAAGCACTTTTCTCATCCCAGCTAAAACTCTTTAGAGACCTCCCCCTTCCTGGTTTAGAGCAGGCTGAAATAAGTGTCCCGTGGTTGTGATGTGGAAGGAAAAGGGAGGGCATCTCAATCTTGTTTACATGTAAGATAACCAGGTAGTGTTGCTGTTTTCATTGTTCTGCAATAGACTAAGTACTGTATCTGTTCAAAAACTGTGTTCAGCTGTGATAAATGGGGAAGGAGTTTCAATCTTCATGGCTTTTAGTCCTTGTGCAGGCTCCAGCAGGTACGTCTGCTCTGAGGACCTTCCCTACCCCCCCTGCAAATTACTTGTTGAAGAGGTAGCAGCAGTAATTCTGAAGAGTGTGGTCACTTCATCACAGTGGCAGTGTCTGTTTCAGAAACACCAGTTCTTCAACATTGTTCAGAAGCAAAACTTTAGGCCCAGTGCTGTCATGGATGATTAGTCATTCTTGTACCATGTCTGGAAGGGATTTAATGAAGTCTTCAAACCAGGCAGCTTTTAATCTGTCTGAAGGCTGCAAATGAAATGTTTCTTAAGATGCATGTGCTTCGTGATGCAGAGAAAGATAACACCTGTAGACAGATTTGAATTTTTTTTCAGGCTAAACTCCTTTTACTTCAAATACATTCTTCAAATGTATGTGCTTATGCAGTTTATGATCCAGATTTTTCTTAAATGAGGAGGAAGCCAATTAAATTACAACAAAAGAAGGACAAAGGAATTCACAAATGGTTCTGATTTCAGCTCTGATATATATTCTGTGCCTGATGCCAGCTACAGCTGTGGTTTTTCATCTGCCACCTTGTAACATACCATATTTCTAACAAGCATTTTAGTTCTTAGAAATAGGAGATTACATCACTGGCCTGCCATTCACACGCTTCATTGCTAGGCAACAGTTAATGTAATTCCATTGTTCAGTGACACTACTTTGAATCTTTGCTTTGTGTACAGAAAGTGTGTGTCTGCATTTTGCCTTGTTGTACCTAATATGTCAGGGTTCCTACAGATGGGTTTGCATTTCAACATCTGTGCAAGAGGGCGATTTTGCAATAGCTTGTTCACTCTTGTCTGGAAAAGATGTCTTACTCTGTGTTACTGAATTTTGTTTTACCTCCCCTTATATGTACATGGCACCTTTTCTTGGATGAATATGAAGCCTCCTGGATGCCTTTAAGATTCCTGCAGAATACACAATTACCTTTGCTGCAGAAAGAGAGGTGGAGATGTCAGATGTGTTGCTCAAATCTATGTAGATGATACTTTTGATCTGGCTTTAGTATCTTTTTCTTTTAACATAGTGTTTCTCTTAACAAAGTGCAGCAGGGACTATTCCATACATAAAGTAATATGCTGGTAGTGGTTGTGAATTATTGTTTTATAAAAAAAAGAGTTGCATCTAGTATGTAGTGGCAAACAGGGCTGAAATCCTAGATACCTTTTGTCTTGTGGCTTGTCTTGTGTGCCACACTGAACAGGCTTCCCAGGAGGACTTGAGACAAAGCCTTGAGCAAACTGGTCTGAATTCATTGTTGACTGTGCTTTGTGCAGGCAGCTGGGCTAAATTATGTCCTCCTAGACTGAATTATTGATTGAGTCTCTGACTGTACACTAGCACCAACCAGCCTTGCAGTATTACAGCTGCTGGAAACAGCTGTATGTGTGTCTGCCTTCCTCTTCACAGTGCAGGGAGGAGGTAGTTGTAATGCCAGTGAGTGGGAGCATTGGCTGGAGGCAGCCTGCAGTGTTTTCCCTTAGACTGGAGCTGCAGTGTGTCACATTGCAGTTGAGTGAGCTCTTGTGGTCCGGAGTATGGATTGGTTTGTAGTAGGAACACTACCCTTCATAGCAAAATTAAATTCCCCAGGTCATAGCTTTGTCATTGCATCTTCTGAGTGCATTGTTTTAGCTTGGCCTTGTATTGGCCTGTTGGAAAAGCCTGTCATGAAACTCAGATTATATTGTCCACATTGTAAATTGATGTTTCGTTCTGCAGCAAGTGTGGGGACAGTTAGGAAAGACGTTGATAAAACACAGATAAGGCCCTGGTGTTTAAAAATAAATGTGTGTTAGTTGGCTCCTCAAGCAACAGTTGTTTCTCTTTCAGTAGCTCTGCTCAGTTTATAGATAATGAAGGTATTGATGCGTTTCGATTGTTGTAAGGGAGGCAAGGTCATGGCAGATGGATGTAAGAGCTTTGTCTTACTGTTTAAATCTATCTAGTTGCAGATTCATTTTACAGGGCTTCTTTTGCAGTAACTTTGACAATTTGTTTGTTTAAAAAGGATCATTTCATACAACAGTCCCGAGAACATCAATTTTGTAAGCTTAATGGTACATTTCTGTATTTGGTTCTGGTTTGGTATGTAGGTATTTAGTTCTGCCTTTTAATAGTTGGTGGTTTGTATTTGCTTCTGCCTGCTTTCTGGTTGGAATTAGATTTTTCCAGTCCTGTGAACCCTTCAGAAATGCTGTTGTTTCTAGTAGTTCATCTTTCTCTATGTAGTGGTTTAGATTTGCCAATTTCAGTTTCCCAGCCAACCACCAAATAGTGTGATGGGTTTAGCACTGGTTAAAATCACTAGTGCACTTACTTATTTCTTGCTGTGAGATATGGATTAGGAGAAGGGCAAAACAGGCTTAAAACTTAAAAGGTATAAAGAAACTTTATTTAACAGGACCACAAGAATAAGAAGCATCAGAATAAAACCTCCAAAACACCTTTCCTCCCCCTGCCCATCTTTTTTCCCTTTCCCAACTGACAATGTAGTGACAAAACCTGGAATCAGTAAATCAGTAATAAATCAATCAGTACCAACTATATAATTATATATTATATATAATGTATTATATATAATAAGTAGTCTTTCAGTAGTTCTTGTAGGGAGAGGAGTTGTCTCTTGTCATGCCGTGGAGACTTCTCCACAAGAAATAGTTTTCTCATGGCTTTTCATTTCCATGAATAGCAGCTGTCTGGGAAAAGTTCTGCATCGCGAAATTCCTACCATTTTCACAGCCCTCCTGGAGGTGTGTCCATCGGCCATGAACTCATGGGGTATTATTTTAAGGATGAGCTGTTCAAAGGCAAAGGTTCTTTTCATCTGTCTCTGTGATCATCTCTGGGAACGGAGGTTTTCTTCTCTCTCTGGGGGCAAAGGGTCTTCATCACTCTAATCTCTCTCTCTGTTCAGGCTTTTCATGGGATCACAGCTACTTCAGCATCTACTTGGCTTTATCAGTGGATGCCTTTGCTCACATCTACAGTTTCATCTCCCCATACTCTCATGAATTAAAGAAGATATTTTAGTGTATCATTGTGCATCTCTACAGCACTACCAAAAGAATTTTTCAGCCTAACACTAAGGCATCTCCTCATTCACCTTCCGTCTAGGGCTTGACTATTTACTGACCTTGGTGTTTTCACGTTGTCTTCTATGTGTCCCCACTTTGTCCTTTTCTCTCGAGGGGAGATCATGGTCTGCAGGTCTCATCTGTTCACTGAAAGGGTTAAATCTTGCCAGGCCTGTGGATGGCCGCAGACAGTGGCCGCAGCAGTCATGATGATTGATTTCAGGCCGCGTTGTGCCCCTCCCTCTGTCCGGGCCAGGGGAAGGGCTTAGTGTTGGCAAGATGTTAGCAGCCGTGGTCTGGGCCAGGGCCCCCCAACCTCCTGTCCCATGCCCGGGAGCCACTGGGGTCTGGCCCAGCCTCACCCCGGCCGCAGGGGAGCGGGGCTGGCACTACCAAAGCTCCGTTAGTTTTTGAGGCCAGAACCAAAGAGTGAGTTCTCAGGCTTGTGGTGGGTCTAATTTCTAAATCACACAAAATGTTGTCAGTTCTCAGAACTAGCCAGCTATTGGCCTTTCCCAGGCACAGTGGAAGCTCTCAGCAGCTTCTCTCAAAGAATTCACTTCTGTGGGTGTTTTCTTACTTCTTCCCCATATGTCAATCAATGTGAAACCACCACACCCTAGCAGAGGTTGAAGTTTACAATGTGTACATCTATTTTATTCTGACTATAGGTCACAGATATTAAATAGCAAAATTTCTGAGGAACATTGCTTTATAGTGTTTGATAAAATAGTTACCTTGCTGATGGAAGGGCTTGGTGTTCCAAGGGGGACTTACCATGTTTTTGTGCTTATTGTAGGCAGCCGCAGGCATCCTGTGCTACGTGGGAGCCTATGTGTTCATCACATATGATGACTATGATCACTTCTTTGAAGATGTCTATACACTAATTCCAGCTGTTATCATCATAGCTGTGGGAACACTGCTTTTTATTATTGGACTCATTGGGTGCTGTGCTACCATTCGAGAGAGTCGCTGTGGACTGGCTACGGTAAGTGCAGAGCTCCTACAGAGTCTTGGCCTGCCTGGTGTATATTTGGCTGCCTTCTCTCTAAATAAACTTCTGAAATATTACTTAAAGTTTTTTCTTTATGGCCTTAAAAGTTTTCTGCTTAATTTTGTTAGGAACATCTTGTTTCAATTTTCTGTTCTGAATAAAGGTGTTAAATTAAACAGTTCTAGCAGCAGAAGGCATCTCAGTTTTACCTTTTTTAGAACTGTGGTAATCTCATTAAAAAATGTAAAACCATATGATTAAGTCATAACAGTTTTTAAATCTCACTTCTATCTTGTGTTGTGGTTGAAAAGCTGAATTGGAGAGAGAAAAGTGATTCAGAAGCCTTCTTGCTTTAAGTGTCTTGCATCAAGGTTAACTGAGGGTTGCCATAATGACTGATTATTTTCTTCTTGGCTTACTTGGGCATTTGGTTTGCAGTATTGTATGCCCTGTGGTTTCCAAGTATTTGAACTGTAATTTTGGCTTGAAAACTGCCTGGGTAGGGAAGAAGAGAGGCTGGTATCTAAACTGTCCCTGCAGGGGGGTTTGGGGCTTCTTTTGTTGAATGCCGTGTAGACTTCTTTAAAAGTGTTCTTAAATATAGCAAGACAGATGCATAGCTTCTGTCTTTTCCAGTTGTTACACAGCTTAATCTGAAGAAAAATTCCCTTAGTTCATGTACCACTCCAAGCTGCTGCCTGGGTAGCCTCTTTGATGAGACATTCCTATTTATCTAACAAAGAAGATTGAAAGAAACACTTGATTAAAGACCTGCAGTATGGTATTTTCAGTACTAATGATAGCTGGACTTGCCTGACTGGGCAGCTTCTTACTACTTGGTGAACCTGTGAACACTAAAGTGTCTTGAATGAATTCTGGGCTCATTTGGTCAATTTAAGTGCCTGCATTAAATTAACTGTTAGATCAAAACCTTGCCTTAAAAGTAACTTTAAACAAAAAAATACACATGGAGACTTTTATTAGGCAAACAAAAGTATTTGCACAGACACTCTTGATTGTATTTTGCAGTTTGTGATCATCTTGCTCTTAGTTTTTATCACCGAAGTTGTGGTCGTGGTTCTTGGATACATTTACAGAGCAAAGGTAAGAACTTCTCAGTTTCAGTAAATGTTTTGTTGTGAACACTGACTATAATACAGAAGTATGATCTTTACTATGTTTGATTCTGTGGAACTGTTAATAGGTATTTGTTAAGGAATAAAATCAAACATCTGAGTGGATTAATTTGTGATACCAATACCTTAAAATGTAGAACATCAATGCAGAGAGCTATCTTGTAGGCAAAAAATTACCTGGAACATACTGTTAATAGTTAAACATGAGAAGGGAGTCTCAGTAATTGGTGGTACTTTTACATTTTCCAGATAGTCTTCTAATTTATTTATGCTTTGACTTTGTGAATGTTTGAGGCTACACAATGTTTGAACATAGGACATGGTTTTTGATACACAATACTTAAATGTTGTCAGGTGTTTTGGTGTGCAAACTAACACTGCATTAGAAAATTAAATAGATTGTGTTAATGTATACTTTCTAGCTTTACACAGGTTGTTGACAGGGATTATAGCTAAACAAATTACAACTATTTCCACTGTTTTTTTAATGGAATTAAGAAACAGGACCAGAAAATGAAATTAGCTATTTCTACCAGCATAATATATGGCAGAAATATGCTACATGGTATTAGAGATGCCGCAGTGTAGCTTGAAAAAATTTCTAACTTGTACAGTTTACTGGCTTTTTATATGTCTAGATCTAAATTCTGACCAAAAAAAAAAAAAGACAACCAGAGAAGGTATTTTAGCTGTGATGTGGAGCATGTTTGCAGTGTAGGACACTCAGGGCTATCTTACCAGCAAGCTGAACAACAGTACAGTATTTATCTTTCTTGGGCCTTTTGTGTCCTGTGAACAACACAGGTCTCACTGGTTCAGCATTTTCTCCTCCTTGCTTTCTCCTGCTATTGTGGAACAAATGGGACAGCTTGGAAATAAAAGTGGTGTTTTTGGTTGGGTCCCAGGGGAGGCTGCTTTGAGTAAGCAGCTGACAACACAACCTTGAAGTGTTTGTGTTATAGACCTGGTGCATAACACTTAGAGTAGCTGCTTCAACAGAAGTGCTCTACTGGCCATGCTTGAACTCCAAATATGTTTTTCTCATGCTTTGCATTTGATTTCTGCTATCTTGGCAGTGAACTGAGATGATCATAGGGGATTCTGAAGTTTGTAGTGGAAGTAGACGTTAGAAGCCACTGAGGGGAAAGCACTAAAAATCCAGGGTAGTAGAAGTGGGTTCTTACATGTTGATCTGAATGGTTTCCTTTCAGTACTTGCAGAGATATGCTTTTATATGTGCAGTAATTACCATGGATCTGATCTGGACTAAGCAGTAGTCATTTTACTTTCTTCCATGTTCCCATCTTGAAGGGACCTGCTCTTTTTCAGTGAGCAGTATTCACAGAAGATACAAGCAGATGCATGAATCTTCCTTGCCCAGCTGTGTGTTCCTGTTGCTTTGCTGCTTTTTTTTATTTTTTCATGAAGTTTTCACAGCAGTAGGTAATGTAGGGCCAGAGCTTGGGAGGAGAGGGAGAGTCATCTGGATTTGGTGGCAACATGATCTTATGCTTAGCTGTTTATAGAAGTCAGTAGTTGAAAACTGACTGTAAAATCTTTTGGGAAGGACAGACAGGTTTTGTTAGTAAAGATGGTAATTTTCTAGTACCCTGCAGTGTCTAGTGTCTGAAACTTGTTTCAAGTGCATCAGAAATAAAAAGAAATAAATTGATTAGCGGTGAGCTGGGAGGGGAAGTCTGCTTAGCCTTCTGATTATTTTTGCCAGGATAAATAAGTCAGCTTTGTGCTTTGTTAATTTTGATCTGTTGTTTCTGACATGGCGTGTATACATCTGTGGGAGCCATGTTTTGGTTTTTTAAAAGGCACCTGAATCGTGTTAGAAGTACTTTGTGTTCACCATACAAACTTCCAAACAAAATGAAAGATTGAAGTCATAGCAGTTGTTGGTACCAAGTAACATTGAGCACAGTGTTACTTCCTCTAGGAAGTGGCACTATGCTCTCTTGAGATAACATTATTGATCTTAGAATCACTTAATTTTCCAGTATGCCTCTGTAAACCTGTGTGTTGATCCAGTTCAGACTGTTTCAGAACCATGTGAAACATGCCCAGGCCATGCTGAGATGGACTAAGCTGCTGCAGAACCTTCCAGCATTGGTCCATAGTTCTAAAAGGCAAGCTTTTTTGGATGTGCTAGTAGGCATTAAACAAGCTTGGTTGTGTGAGGACCTGCTGGCTTTTTTCCTCTGGGTGGAGGGGTTCACTCTTCATTTTTAATGAAACCTGCCAATTAAGTAGAGCTAGGGATTTCTCTTTGGATCTTACGGAATTTGCATGGTTTTCAGGCATAATGTTGCCCTGATTGAACCACAAGCCAAATAATAAGTAAGCACTGAAATAATTTTTTTTTAAATGTATATGACAAATTGAACAGCTGTTTTGTTATGAGTTGGAGTTGTAAATCAAATTAGTTAAATCAAACAATTGATTTTAAACTGGTCTGAAACAAGTTGCCTGTGCAAGTTAAATTGACTTTTATGCATACCTATCTTGAAATAGGCAGAATTCTTGAGGAGGGGGTGGTGATGGAATTCAGCTTGTGCTATTGCTGCAGAAAATTCTTCCATTAAAGTATTTAAAGGAATGATGTGTTGACAAGACCTTCCTACTGTAGCTTGCAAATATGAAGAGTATGCATGCTTAGTGCTCAGTCCTAAGATTACATTCCTTGCACATAATTCCTGTTGAATGTGATAGAAAAACATCAAATCAGAGTTAATCTTAAAATTGCACAAATGTTTTTCTACACTACACTGTGTATTATTTAAGTAATAGTTTACAGTAAAATGTAATACTTAAAAGGTTCTAGTAAGATTTCCTCCAAACCAGACATCATAGAATGACTTTTGAGAGAACAAGTGATGGTTCTTGAGTGGCATCCATTTCTAACATGTACTTGACAGAGTATTGACTCATTTGCAGTAGTTCTAAGACCTATTGCAGTAAATGTTGCTATACACAATGTACTGCCCCTGGTGTTCCTCAGGAAGCCCTGGGAGACTGGGGTTGAACAGAGAGCTTGGTCACTGTAGGGTGAGTCAGAAGGCATCTTTGAGAATTTATTTACCTTTGCTGAAACCAGAAGAGTAGGTGGTATGATTTAGTACCTTTTGATCCCAATATCCTTGTAGTCCCAAGGGGAATGAGTTAGCCCAGATGGTTATGCTGGTTTTGGAATGGAACCTTGAAGTAGGAAGGTGAGTGCATGCTCTTATGGAGAGCCCTTTACTTCATGAAAATGTCTGCCACAGTGTCACAGGAAAAGCATGTTCCTTTTCTGAGAGACAGTGCGAAGCTACTTTGCCTAAAATCTGGAAGGTAGCTGCCTGGATTTTTCACTCTTCCTTAGCTGCAAGCTGGCAACATCTTTGCAAAAGTCAGGTTTAAACTTTAGGAAGCTGTTATCACTGTATTATGCTGATTTCAGATGATGGGGAGTTACGTTGGTTTCCTGAAATGCTGCAGCTGGAAGCAAAATAATGTTTCCTAACCTGTGCTACTTCTGCTGGTGAGCTAATGCAGATGCTTTCCTACCCCTTCCTAGGTGGAGGATGAAGTTGATCACAGCATTCAGAAAGTATACAATGGATACAATGGGACAAATCCTGATGCAGCCAGTCGTGCTATTGACTATGTACAGAGGCAGGTGAGACAGCGAGACACGTGCCAGATTTATACTCCTTTCTGTCCTTAAAACACAGATGCTGTTGCTCTGCTGCTTGTGTAGATGGCCTTTCTCCATTCTGACAAATCTAGGAAATTGCTGAATGGACAATAAATAGCTTAACTTGGTTAAAATTTATATTATTACATTGCTGATGGGGAGATTAAATTTTTATTTAATTAGCTATCAATCTATGCTTCTATTGAAATATGCGGTACTTAAGTATTTTTCTGCAGTGGAACATACTATACTTGTCCTCTTGGTATTGTAGTTAGAACTGAGTTTTTTACATGTCTGATTTTCCAGCTGCGCTGCTGTGGGATCCATAACTATTCAGACTGGGAGAATACTGTCTGGTTCAAACAAACTAAAAACAACAGTGTGCCCCTCAGCTGTTGCAAAGCAGCCCTCAGCAATTGCACTGGTAGTTTGACCCGCCCCATGGACCTTTATTCAGAGGTAAGGCAGCCACAGCATGAGCTGACACAGCCACATGCTTTCACTGGCAATTCATTTTCTCTGGGGGAAATCAGATCTTGGGTGTATTTGCTTTAACAGAAAGTAGATGTGGTTAATCATCTCTCTCCTCTTTTTATCTGTCATTAATTTTCATCTAATTACTTTTTTTAGTATTAGCATTATCTTTCTGCCCTGTGTGATGCTTTGGGGGTTTTTTGGTGTGTCCAAATCCAGTTGCCAGATTGATGCATAAGAAGCGTACTTGTTTCAGGGGTGTGAGGCTCTGGTTGTAAAGAAGCTTCAGGAGATCATGATGTATGTCATCTGGGCAGCACTAGCATTTGCTGCTATTCAGGTAAGAGAATGTTCTTTATTTGTTAACTTCTTTCAAATTAGATCCAAACTGCAGTACAGATAATTACAGGTATGCACATACAGATATTGCACTTTAACACAAAACTTCCCACTGATATGTGGATGTACAGTCTGTTAGAGCTGAACAGTCAGTGTTACCTGCAGTAATCCACTGTGATGTAAATGGTAAATTATTTTGTGAAAACTTAATTATCTAGGTATTAAGTATCATAAATGTCCTCTGATGGCATTTAACACTTGAAGAGTTTGCGTAGTATTTAATCTTCAACTTTTAAACAGCTCATTCTTCATGCTGTTTTAGAGGTTCATCAGCTTAACTATTCTTCATGGTCTACAAATAATGTCAGGACCACCTGGGAGATGCACCCAAGGTTTTTGATAGTGTACTCTGTATACTGTAACTGAGTTACCCTGGTCATAAAAAGGTAACTGAAGAAATAAACTAATGTGTATATTTGTATTTATTAAATTTTAAGGAAGGAAAAAAAATACTAGCACTGTCTCCCAAATATATTTGTAAAATTGAAATTGAGTACTCATCAACTGGCAGACTTGGTGCATTGACATTATTTTCAGACTGTGCCTATGCTATGGTCTGAGTACATATGCTGGATCCCAGGAGAATTAAAAACTAATTTCAGAGTTACTTTAGTGTTCTTAATAGCATTTGAATTAAAAAAAAACATACCTGTCAAGTCCAACAATTTAAGCACTTCGGTTTTCAAAAGCAGCTTTTGAGCCAGATTGTAAGTTTGAAGGTAAATAATCTTTTGCAAACAGTCTTGTGAAAATAGAGTTCCCTTTATATTTCAATGCTACAAGGAAGTACTCATAGTATTGTATACAGTCGTGCTGAACTGTTCAGACCCAGACTACTTCAGCTATGGAATTTCAAATTTTGTGAGATCTGTGTTCAGTCTCCTGAAGGGAAGATACAGTTTTAATTATCTTTCTTAAAACTTTGTTCAAGTGATACTTGGTCTGTTTAAACAATGAAAAGTATTTGTGTACTGAAAATTAATGTCTTTATCACAACCATAGTTACTGTGACAAATTTTTATGTCAAAAAAAAAAGTGTATCTTATGAAACTGACTGAGGTGAATCCCAAGAGGAGGCATCATTAGTTTTGAAGTTCATAGGCTGATGAACAGGTCTGTTCCAAAAGGCAGCACAGGTATAATCCTTTCTGGCCCTGGCCCAGAGTTTCTGACACATGCTTGCAATGGCAGTGTGGCTGCTTGCACCCTTTTGTTCAAACTTTCCTGTTACGTATCTCCTGAAGTTTGAGACCTAAGTTCTGACGTCTTTGACTTTGCCATACAGAATTCAAATATGTATTTGACCCAATTCTCAGCAAAATGGTCTGTGGGCTGAATGAAAGGGAGATAGAATGTGAACCTTAGCCTGTAACTTTGGTCATATCCTGTAGATTGAGAGGAATAATTGTTTTTCTTACCAGCTGGTGAATTTTGCTACCTTCCCTATGCTGGCTGCACAGTCCCCTCTGAACAGATTATTTTTCTTATGCAATGAGGCTGTTCAAAGTTCATTACCTCCAATAGCCTATAGTCAACAAATTTAACCTTCAATAATTGCTTTAAAATTAAAAGACTGAGAAGAGTATTTTTGCAAGGCTTGGAATTTATTAACAACTTAGTCTGTTCTGCATAGAAGTAATTTTTGGTATGTTCATGTTTCTGTTACCATGGGGATCTTCCAGTGTGCAGTAATTCTCTGGTCCCAGCCACAGTGACAGCACAGAACTATTAATAGATAGGAGGCAAACTGAAAGGGGAAAAGACACATTTTTTGTGGTTGTTGATCATTTACAAAGGGCACATGTATATACAGCCAGTGAATTTTTATACAAAATTGGTTTGGGGAAACATTCAATGTAGTTATTGCTAGCAGGCAAATTAAAACCAAAATGAATAAAAAACTAAACAAATCTGAATGTAGGAGATGTCTAAACGTTCCTGAAAGCTGGTGAAGAGGAGGATTCATGGATCCTTCCTCAACACAGATGTCTGAAATAGCTGTACACAATATTAAATAGCAACCCAAGAGAAACAGACTCAAATGCCTTAAAATGTTTAGAGGTGCTAGTGTATTTTTAATGACATAATAAATAATGCCTGTAGAGAACACTGAGTTACGTGAGTCACTTCTGTGTTTATAGTGAATTCTAGGAATATGCTCAGAGACCTAAAGAATAAAAATGGTTTAAATAGTAACTCAGAAGTTAATTGCATGAGATTTTGCTGTAGTACCTGAATGTTTGAGATTTCACACAACTCTGTATAAATTAAATATCTCGAGGGAGTCATTGAACAGAGTTGTCTTTGTGCAAATAACTGTAAATGTCCTGGGTCTACTTTTATTCATTTTATTTACATGGCTAGAATGACTTCTAGCAAAAGACTAAAGGAGGTGTTGCTCTGCATCACAATTTTCATTTTATCTCCCAGCTTTGAATAGCAGAGAAGAATTTTTTGTACTTGCAGGCTGCGAGCCTTCTTGAGAGTTCAGTAGCCACTGGCAACAACCACAAACTACCACAAACGCTCCATTTTACAAGTCTGACTGAAGTGGGTTTAATTGTAGATATTCCCTCCTCACTTAGGAGGGCTGTGTCCATGGTGAGTCATTATCTCACATAGCTTGTTTCCTCTTGCTCTGACATGAATTTATCTGTCTGAGCACCCTGGTATAGATCATGTCCCTGCTTATTGCAGGAGGGTTTGACTGGATGGCCTTTAAGGTTTGTCCCAAACCATTCCACGATTCTATGGGAACATATTTAGGAGTCAGTCTATGAGCTGTAACCACCTGAGTGAAGAAAGGTGCTGTTTTTAATGACAGCTGAAGTGCCATACTATATTACTCTCCTTATGTTGTTTTAACCTGAGCTGGTTTCTGCTATAGATCCTAAGCAGACAGTGCACCACAGACAAAGAAGAGTATTGATCTTTACAGCTCGTTCCTTTCCAGGAAATAAAAAGCTCATACTAGCATTTCATCATGCCTCTTCCTAATCACTGTGTATTTAGATTTAGGATTTTTAAATGTTCTGTTTTCAGTCTTTTAGCAGACTGGAATTCTACAATGTGTGTACCATCATTTAATTTTAAAACATGTTACACATCTGATGTTTGCATTTGCCTGTAAAAAAGTCAGTAACTCTCCTTTTGTCCCAGTACTATTTTCACTGGGCTTTTGCTGTATCAGAGAGGAAGATCTACACTTGATTGCTTGCTCACCCATTTCATTTGTGTTTGTTTTCTGTCTGAGGGGTGTTTTTGTGGTGTATTTTTGGAGTGAAAGAAATTAAGTTAGCTTCATAGTGGTGCTTTATAATCCAGAGATAGGACAGGAGCCTCCTGAAGTATTTGTATCTGTGAATAAACTTCTATGCATACAACCAAATCAATACAGTTATACTTTAGTAGAAGCTATTGCCAGTTACTGTAGACCACAGAACACAACACTATACCTGCTATGTTTTAAGTCTTATTCTACCTTCAATAAACATGCAACTTCTTTAAAATATCATGCCCTGTATCCCTGATTATTTGTGTGGTTTAAGTCTTGTAGGTGGACACAGGGTGATCATAGCTGAAATCCTGGCAAGCATGACAGCACAGTTGTGGTACTGTGAATTTTAACGTGTCTAAAAGTGAATTTTATGCCTTAGATTTAAGCTTTCTAATAGGATATGTTCACAGAGAGAGAGTTTTATGAAATCTCTTTCAAAAGCCCATTCTCATCATAGCAGTTAAGCCGATGCATTTGAATTACACTTGGATTTTCCATTCCAGATACGGTATCTAAAAATCTGTACCTTTCATTAAAAAACATTAGGAGTTTCTTCCATCTGAATCTGAATTATTGAGGCAGAATACAAGTGGCTGACCAAAATAAAGTTTAGTTTTAGATGTCCAGGAATAATCTCGTAAGAAAATGAAGCTGAAGTTTGTGGCCCTGGAAGTTTGCAACAGGAACCAAGGCTCTTTCAGGAGCAGTTGTTTGTTGCCATTTATGTTAATTACACTGTTGAAGCATGCTGACAGTCTGTGCTGAGGTGGAGTGTCTCAAAATACCTTCCTTGTACTCAAGCTTGTTCTCTCTTTTTTTTCTCCCTAGCTTCTGGGCATGTTGTGTGCCTGTATAGTTCTATGTAGGAGGAGTCGAGATCCTGCCTATGAGCTTCTCATTGCTGGTGGAACCTATGCCTAGAAGAGAATTCAAACATACAATTCAATCTTCCCCCACTTCTGTGGAAGGTGAATGGGCCAGGTTTACTTCCATAGCTTTCTTGCCCCAAGCTTAGTCCAAGCACACCTTTCAGACATGAGGGCAGCCGCACTGTGCACTGGTGACGGGCAAAACAACAGCTTTACACAAACCCATATAATTACCTGTGACTTTCACTGTTTTAGCCAGCTATTCATGTATCTAAATGTTTTAGTATGCTAGTAAACTTTCTAATTTCAGAACCATTTGCAAGTTAAGTGTAATTTGGTTGATATGAAAGTCAAAGGATGTGTGCCTACTTTGGTAGATTACCTCTAAGCATTAACTGGCTGATTCTTGCATATAGACAGAGGATGTCTTAAACCTTTACTACATGGAACTTTTCTGGCCAAAGTTGTACAAAGGAAGCCAGCTGTATTTAATTTGAGAAGAAAAAATGTTTTACTCTTGCCCCTCACCAGTGTCACTTTTAAAAAAGAAAAAACATTTAAGTCCACTAAACTTTATATATAAAGAAATTGAAAAAAAAAAAAACAAACAATACATTTTAGGATTATGTGACTGCAGTTTTGACCTTCAGAGATCCAGTCTTTCAAACATTAGTGGTTTAAAATACAAGCTGGCTTTTCAGGAGTATAATGTATGCACTACTGTTCTATAATGAAATATTTCATTTTTCTATGAAGAGCGTTTTATGTGTTGAGTGAACTGTTAGACTGTAGACCTTCAATTGGTTTGGAAACAATGTAGCCATGTAGAGTAGCAAAGTAGTATGTGAAAGTGATCTCAACTGTAAATAGTAAACCTGATTAAATAAATCTCTGTATATCCTCCCTATAAACATGTCTTGTTTTCTGTTTAAGATTCCAGTGTATTTGGTCCAGTGGAGTCTGGGTGTGCTGTACACACAAACTCTGTGAAAACAACAGTTTTGGATGGCTTCACTTCAATAGATCTGTATTTATGGTTTGCTGAGAACCTGATTGTGTTGTATTTGTTCTTTTTATTTGAAACAATAGCAGCGAAACACAGAACAACAAACTTGGCTGAACTTGATGGAAACTTAATATCTTGTGCATACTATTAAGGAAGAATCTGTTGCCTCTAAACAGTGGGTAATGAATAGCTTTCCTGTAACTGCTGTATGTTAATTATATTTTAATGTGTTTTGCATTATTCACATACTTAGTCACTGCCCTACTTTCAGTGTCTTCAGGTTCCTCCTCCTTCGCAGAAGCCAGGGATGTTCAGAACTTTAACCAGTTGCTTATGTACAAAGCAGACATGCTCAGCTAAACTGACATCAGGATAATATCAAATAACTAAAGAAGCATCACTCAGAAGATTCTAAAATGTGCATATTGTTGAGGTCAGTGTGACTCGTTGGAGGATTTTTCTCAGTGATGTTAACACGGCTGTAGAAGTGTACCTTTGGAATTCTGTTAACTGCTAAAGGAGGGTTTCAAATGATGCTCTCCTGGGACTTAGATTTTCATTCTTAGGACAGTGTGTGGCTCAACCCAGGACTCCTGACTGTGGCATCAGATTTCCCAGATGTGGCAGCAAGCCTGCTCACTGAATTTGATTATCTTCATATTGTATTGCATATTGTGAATATGGAACTCAGAAGACTGAGATGATGCTGGCTTGTAAAAATCAGTGTGCAGAGGTTTGTGTTGCACAAAGTAAGGCTAAGGATGCTTAAAAAGGTTATCAGCTCTTAACAGCTACAAGGCAGAAAGAAACTCCACAGTCATGAGCCTGCACATACCCCTTTGAAATGAGGATCTGGGGGAGATAACAGTGCACCTGCTTGTTCATCTTGCTGGAAAACGTGGATTTGAAGTACTGATGACTTGACAGTACTTGCGTGTAATTGAAGGAAGTATGTTTCCTCTTTAAAATGCAGAATATTTGTGCTGGAATGTGGAAAATATTGAGTATTTTACAACTTTTTTATAATCTAAACAAAGCCCAACTGAACTCTTAACTGCTGTGAATTAGTTTTTTCTAGGAACCAGTGACCTTCTTGCATTGCACCATTTGTAGTAAGTCTTGGATGTGTGAATAAAGTTAGGTGGTGCTTGGGTTTTCTAAAATACAAAAGCAGACTTCACACGCCTCCACACTCCCCTCCAAAAAGCTAACCAAACCCAGACTTGCAAGGGTACAATACAACACATTTTGTATGATTCACTGAAGCTGGGAACAAGTGGTGTGGGTCTGTAGCTTCCCTTACTGAAAAAAATTAATAAACTTTGGCTTGTATTAGGCAGGAGTGTTGGTGTGGCTGTAGTTTGGCCTTCCTAATTAATATATTCAGATGTGACAGTGTATTTTAGGGGACAAGGGATGATTTCATTCCATTATAGCTCTTTTATTTCCTTGATTCCTGTCTAGTCTTTTAAGTTCCTGTATGAATTTCTTCTTGGCTATCTTGTAGCTGAAGGGTCTGAGAGGGCTCAGTGCAGACTGCATAGGAAATTCTCCAGACTGAGTGAATCCATGTGTGGTACATGGAGCACACAGGCTCATAGAGCTCACCTGCAGCAGTAAACCTTACCTGATCCAGAGGGGTTTAACACAGGAAATTAAAATTGCCTTCAGGGATTTTTTGAATTGGCTTTTATTGTTCTCACTGCTATTAAATTGACTTAACTACATTGCAGTGCACATCTGTCCTTCACTGCCTTCCAGCACCCTAGTAGGAGGCTCATGAGAATTGGAGGGTCTCATTCAGATTGTGATCTAGTAAGACATGATCATCTCTATGTGCCTTAGTAAACAGGAGAAGTGGTCTAATAAGATCAATTTAACAAAGTTTGTGGAAAGAAAAAAATTTGACCTTGACAGCCAGAAGAGGACAGCTCATGAGACTCTTCAGTACTTGAAGTTTCAGATGACGTTTGAGATAAGTACTTGTGATAATAATATCAGTGATAGCCTTCAGAGTAGTTAGTGGATCTTGTAACTGACTTCATCTTGGGCCTGAGACAAATCCCTCTGGAATGCATGAAAAGTCTTCAAGTGCAGTGGATCTTTGGTGTTCCATGTGCTGTGTCCTGCTGCAGCAGCACGCTCTGGGGTGACTGCTTGGAGAATGCCACCTGAGCCTACATCCTGCCTCTTGCAATCATTGCTCTTGGGTGCCATCCCTGCTGACTGGGGCAGCTGTCTTTGCTGCACATAAGTTTTAGTTCCATGGCTTTTTTCAAAACACATTTTGGTGATAGTTTCTTGCTGATCTCTGCAGCCTCCCATAGCTGATCTGTTTCCCCTAGAGCTGCACTGAGCAGTTGGAAAGCTCTCTTGGGGGCAGCATTTTTTAAACCATGATCTATGCCTAGGCTACTGCTGGAAGGCACAGAACAGAGTTTCATCTGTGCTACCTCTGAACTGATACGAGCACAAAGCTTCCTCTGCTAAACTATTGATGTGATGCAGTGCCCTATAAAGTGGCAACATAACTGGTTGCTGTAGGCCATGCCTGGCTGTGGAAGGGTAAGGTGCTGCCACTCTTAGCCTGTTTCCCACTGTCCTGCATATCAATCTCATATTCCTGGACTGCATCAGCACTGATCTCTCATGTCTGTTGAGGTAACGGTTTTCTATTTGTCCGTCTCAGTTTTGGGGCTGTTCTTCAGTAATGGGACTGATTAGGAGAGAGCAAACTCACTGCAGGTAGCAGAATTATGTTGCTGCTGATCTGTTGAAAGTCTGGGTATGATCTGATTTTGATGGGCCAGTCACAGTTTGCCTGTGCTCTACATCTACACAGCAGTAGCTGTAAACCTTGCCCTTCTACCTCCTCATGAAAGGATTTATCTGCAAAAATCCTACAAAATAGTCCTGAGGTAGTCCCGCAGCAAGTCATGTTTCTTTCTGTGTACCATAACACAAGGTTTGGTGTTTAAAATAAGGCTAAATTGCAGGCCACTAGGTGGAGGAGGAGGTGCTGGGGAAGCACAGCTGTACAGCTGTTCCATGGCCATGTGCTGCACCCTGAACATGTTTAATGTCCTGGCAGCTGCCTGGCATGGCAGAGGTAAATATTAGATTTGTTGACCTACTCCTTTATTTCTTCAGTCTGACAGTTGCCTTCACAATACGGGTTTTGTGCTCACAATATGTATTAATTCCAGGCATAAGCCTTTGATTTCATCCTTGCTGTGACTGCAGTAATCCCTGCTGGATCTGTGCCTGGCAACAGATGTTTCTTCTTTCAGTGCCTGGACTCCAGGACAGGAGTTCAGTTGTTTTGTGTGGGGTATTTACACTGTAGATGAACACATAGTACAGTTTACTCATCATTTAAAAGCAGGGCTGAGTTTGTAGATTAGGCGTGGACACAAACCTATGTATGTGAGAAGCTATCAGAGCTCTGGTCTGGGGACCTGAGACTTGGTGATCCTTCTGGAGCAAGCAAAGAAGAACTTCTTTCTAGTGCTATGCATTGAACCACACATTTTCTCTCACCTGCTTCTCTTGACCCTGAATGCTAAAGGTACATCAGGGCTTTTGAGTTGAAACTTTGCCAGAGGGAAGCCTGCAAATTGGGTTGCTTGGGGTAACATGAGCCACAGCAGTTTGGGACCATGGAACTGTTCCTGTTGGCACTCAGAGAAAAGACAGCTTTGCTTTCATTTGGATGTGTGGTGCTTCAGGTACCAGCTCTTTTCACCAAATGGGCTTCTGTCCCATTTCAGAGAATAATTTAAGCATTTTCCTGGATAGCTGTCCTGTCAGACCTTGCTAGGTCAGGCTGTGACTGAAAAACTGGAATGCATTTTCCTTGTGCAAATAAAACACTGAAGCAAACCACTGGCAGATGTGGGGCTTGACAGTATCTAAATCAGTCTGGTCTAGAAAACTGCTTCTGAAATGGAGTTCTGAAGTGTTTCTCCCAGCTGGGCAAAGGAAGCAGCAAGATCTGCTCTTGCCTGAATGAGTCTGCCATTGAATTGCATTGAGCAAATCTGCCAGCACACGAGGTGTGTGTGGGGGTAGTGTTCATGCATTCTCAGCTGAGAGTAGGAGAGGAATAAATCACCTGTGGCAAAGGTGGCATTGAGTCCTGTGCCAGCACCAAGTACCTCACAGGCACCAGGCAGGACTTAAGTCCCAGTACACATTGTAGAAGTAAGCATTCCTTGTACTTCCAGGACTTGGAGGATACATCATCCTTGGGAAGCACACTTAGTGCTGGTAGCCTTGCACTCTGTGAAGTGTTTTTGCCCTTTGAGTGCAATGTCCATTTTGAAAGCTTAAATCCAGTATTTATCCTGATAGCTTTGTTTCCCCCTGTACAGTAACACCTTCAGCACTGAAAAATGGTGCATGGAGGATCCATTACAGACACTGAGGAAACATAAGTTAAATTTAGAGCTTGTACTGATAAGTGCTGTGGTTGTAAAAGCTGACACAGGACCCTACAGAGCATGGAGCATTTCTCCAGATGCCTTCTCTCCCTCTTCGGTTTTGAATCCTCCCACGGCTGCTGAATTGAGCAGTGACCTAGCAAAACCTTTAGCTGCCACTAAGCAGAACAAAGTCACTATCGCTTAAGTCTCCCTTCCTCACCCAGGGCTCAAACACTAGAAGGGCTGTGCAGCCCTTCTGTAAAGACAAAGCACTTCTCACGTCTATCAGTGCACTGAAAGCTTTGCCATTCACACTTACGTTGGTATGCTTATCCTGGGAAGGTTAAAGTTCACCAGTTTCCCAAGAACTTCCTCCATGGACTGTTTTCAGCTTAAAAATTCAGAACAATTCTTCTTTAGATGCAGCTGTTGAGCATTTGTGCCCTTGCAGAGTGGAAGGGAATGCGCTGAACTCCCCCACGTGCTCCCTGCATTGAGTGTTATCTTATGTCTGCACCCCCCTTCCTCAGAGCCAGCCAGTCCTATTACAAAACAAGCACTGTGTACACAATATAATTTGTCCTTTTCTACGAGATTTTTTTCGTTGCAAATATTGATCCAACAACCACCCAATGCTACCTTGTTTAGGCCGGGTCTGGGATTGAACAATCACCAAAATACTGAGTGTGCCAGGAGGATTTTCAGATCGTTGTCAGAGTGGATTATGAGCTTCCTGTGATGAGTGGAGAAAGTGAGGGTTGAGGTGCGACTTTTCCAGTCATACCTTTGCTTCACAAAGCCATTGATTTATTCAAGGTTTAGCCTGGGCTGCTTGAACAATCCAAGTGTGTAATCCAACACAAAGGAAATTTCATTCAAATTTAAGCTGGAATATCTTGAGCTGTACTGTGTGTCCATTTACCCTGAGGCAGAGGCTGTTGCAAATGCCTGTATTTCAGTCAAAGAGAATTGAAGTCAAAGCACTGCTTATGCAGCTGTAGCTCATCCAACACTGTACCTGTTATCACACCTGGTTGCTGCTCTTGACGTCTGCCTTGATTTGGTGGCTTGGTTGAATTCTGGTAAGGGCAGCAAAGCTGGGATATGTGTGCTGGTATATGTTTCCAAATCTCGTTAATACTGGCTTTTTTAGATCTGGTAAGTAAAATTCCTCCTGCTTACAAATATCCTCCTAGCGTATCTGTTCCCACTTCACCTCTGCCCTGCAGCTGTTTTTGTACCCTCAGTGCTCAGGATGCTATGTGGAATCCCTGATAATAAACTCAAAGCTGTGCTCCAAGTTGAGTTCTGTTTGCCTGGTGGTTTTGGATGATACTGTTTTTCCCCTTAGAAATTTTTGGGATGTCAACTCTGATTTCTGCCAATTTTGCTGGGAGGTGATGGTGATTTCTGTTAGAGTTTTGTATCTAAAATCAAGATTTAGTCTGTCAGAATAGAACAACACAGTAAATCTGCCTTTTGGGCCAGTGTTCGGGACAGAACGGCTGCAGCCACATGGCACCCAGCAGTGATAGGGTGTAAATGTGCTCTTCATGGTGCCCCAGCAGCTTTGTGCCAGATCAGGTGTCAGCCATCCTTTAGCAGGTGGTAGAAGGACAAGTTTAGCACTGTACCATGTGTAACTGGCTAATTTGATGGAAATATGATTATCCAGCTATTCTAGAAACAGATCAGATTTGCACTGTGCAGGATCCAGGAGTGCACATATTTGGAGATAACTGTGGCTCTGAACAAAATGTGAGCTGCTGAATTTAAGTAATTGCTAACAAAGAATAGATGATGGCTAACAGCTTGACTAGTTTTTTGCCCTTTCAAGTGAATGCAGTGTTGGCATTTTGTTAATAACATAATCACTGGCAGGACACTAATTCTTCTTCCAGAATTTAATTCACAAGTATTCTTTCCTTACAAAACCCAGCCCATCAGTCCTTGCAGTCCCTTAGCAGCCACAAAGCAGATAAGACTCAGCATCACAACTTTGTTTCCTTCCTTGCTCGCTAACTCTGCATGTAGTTCCTGTTTAAGGACACGGGAAGCACTGATATTTGTGTGGCTGGTGACTGTTCTTGCGTTCTATGCCCCAACCCTGCAAGTTGGAGAACAGGAAAGGGGAAAGAGATGGTGTTGAGCAGTCTAGGCTGCTGTTCAGGCCTGTACAGTTTGTCCTGTCCCATACAGAGCTGTTGCCACTGCACATTGAGGGTTAACAGTGACTTTTCATACTGTGTTGGGATAGCCCTGATGTAGAAACCCCTGTCCTCTCCAAGCCTGCACAGTTAAGCCATGGCACAGTGATACTGCCGGGAGGTTCTGTGGTATCACAAAGTGTGTAAGTTATCCCAGTGTTGAGGTTAGGTGTTCCTTAATGCTCACCCAGGCTTCTGTTAAACACCTGCCACCTGCTGCTTGGCTTGTAATGCATCTCCTCTTGGCATCCATATGCTTCCACTTCAACTGCATTTCAGTAATCGGGTATGAGCTGCAACTGGGAGAAAATGACCTCTGGAGAGGAGACTCAGACCAGGAGTTTGCCTCTTGAGACAGGAAGGAAGCCAAGGTAAGAGTTTCTACTGTTTATGCCTTATGTACATGATCTGTCACCACTTTGGCTGATGCCTGCTGGGGTTGTTCATACTACAGAGCTCTAGCCAGGGGTCCTCAGGGAGGTGACAAACACTCCAAACCTTCATCAGTCACTGTGCTCTTGCTGTTGCTACGTGCTCAGCTGGGAGGAGGTTGGTTTCTTCCTTTTAGCTGCCTAGTTGTTGGAAATGCTGGAAGCTGGTTGGCTCTGCAGATCACTGAGCTTGGCAGGAGGCCTGGCTGTGTTGGTTGTCTTAGAGCTGGGTCTGTTGGATCTTTCTGTTTCTAGTCTGATACTGTTTTGGTGTTCCTACTGGCTTGTGGGCTCTTAATATGTAGAAATCTGTTCTGTGTAGGGATTCACCTCACCCTACACTCGCAGACGTTTCCTGATTACATGTGGTTGTCATTGGTAGAATGTTATTTCATACAGGTTTTCGAGTGCTTCTCCTTAATTGGTAGTAAATGCAAAAACAATTAGCATGTTTTGACTTCAGTATAAGAATGCCACTGGAAAGGGCCCAATTCTGTTTCCTGTCCTAGCTGAAAATTGAATGATAACTTGATTATGTCAGTTTTATTGCCCAAACGTTACCAAACTGGAGAGAAAATGTTAATAAGGGCAATGTTGTTAAGGCAGTAGCCTACAACTGATCTTCCTGCTTTTCCTAGTGATGGGGGTGCGTAGATAGATGACACCTAAAATGTGGGTGTTCTCAGAGGGTGTGAATATTTCTTGGTATCTCTGTTCTATTTGTGACAAGTGCTGCCACGCAGATAGGGCAAACTGAAGAATTTGGCTGATAAGTAGTTCCAAGCCATATCTAGACAATATGAATCAGAGGATTCATGAGAAAACATTGCTGCTGCTTTTTCATATCCTGAACAATCCGGAGTTAGCATGTGGGACCCAAATGCTGTGACACTGGGGAGATTTTGAAATACATATAGCCTCTTGCCATTCAACAGTGTTTACTCAAAAGAAGAAGGGATTGGTAGAAAGGAAATCAGTTTCCTGACTTTGACAGCAAAAATGCAGAATGATTAGATGGAGAGAAACAGCAGCCACCATTCCACCAGCTGTCTGTTGGTGATGTAGATCATGTGGTCCATGGAAGCAAAGATGATCTGCAATAGGGTTTCAGGGCAGTCAAGACTGGGCCCTGTAGTGCCTTGTGTGAGGGTGGGCCCCCAGAAAAGTGAGGAGTCCTGCAAAATCTGTGTCCCACATCATTAGAGAATGTGCATCTCAGTGTATTTGTGGGGGGTTTTTTTCTTCTGTTTAATTAAGATAATCTGCAAAATACCTACCTAGATTTATTTATTTATTGGTTTATTACAGTCTTCTTTGTAGGAGATTGAGTGTTCAAGAAGTAAATACATTCAATCTAATCTCTTGTGGCTGTCGGGCAGCCTCCACTCGTAATGTCCTGGCCAAGGTGAAGCCATGTGCATCTTTGTGTCACTTCAGGTGTGGTCACAGAAACCTCTCCTTCCCTTCCCAGCCTGGGCGAGCACTGCTGTTCTTACTCTGCTGCCTTCAATGCCATGGCAGCCCCTCCCGAGCCTGTGCTGATGCCAGGGGCTCAGAGCCCTTCAGCCCTGATGTGGATGTGCTGCATGGTAACTGGGGGAGTGTGGGAAGGACAAGGTCCTGTGCAAAGTACTGCAGGCAGCCAAAGGAAAAGGGCCTGCAGCAACTTCTGTTCCATTCTTGAAGGAAGAATTTGAATAAGATACTGCAAGTGCCTCTGACCTTCACTGTGTTTCATTTAAGAAAAATTGCATTGGCCATTACAGCTTTCTCTTTTGTCTAAATTTCTCTTGTCTGTTTTGTGTGTCTGAGCTAACAGTTCCTCTCTCCCCCATGCCTTTCAGGTAGCAATAAGAATAATTTTCATTGTCTTGATTCAGTTTTAAGACCTGAAACCTTGGCAAACGGTCATTCTGCCCCCAGAAATAGTTTGCTCTGATTCAAATTAAATCACCAGTTTTTAATTTTTTTTAACTATCTTGAAGTACTGAAAAAGGAAAAATGGCAGAAACTATCCATCAATTCCTTGTACAGTAACATTGGAAACATTCTTAAATATTAAACTAGAAAGATGAATAGAGCTGCAATCTGTGAAATAGAGTGAACCTGCACAGTGCAATATCTCTGAAGAGGTTTTGTTGAAGAATGAGCACATTAGATGTGCCTGGAAAGAACCCAGGATGTCCCTATGGCAGCAGTCGCAGAGGTGCAGAGGCTGCAGGCAGCAGATGGAGCCAGAGCAGCCTGTGGGCTGAGCGGGTGGAAGGGAGGCTGCCCTGCTGACATTGCAGGGGTGGCAATTGGCAATTCTCTGGTGCTCAGAGGAGAGGAATCAGGGCAGTGCAGCACTGCTGGAGGCCTGGCTTAGGTGCTGTTTGTGTTGTTGGATTTTTAAACTTCAAAATCCCAGACAGGTGTTAGGGAAACCTTCCAACCAAGGCAAAAGCAAGCCTTGGGCCCATCACCTGTCCCAGAATCCAGAGCAAAGCAGAGCTATGGCTAGCATGGATTTCATTGTGTTAGGAGATGGTTGTGATGGGGAGTGCCTCAAGTTTTCCCACTAGGGATGTGTCCTGGTCCTTCAGGTGCTCCTCTGTGGCTTCATTCACTGTTTTTTGTATTTTCATCCATGACTGATAAACCATCCTCTGTCAAAAATGCCAGCAGGGCCTGTGAACGGAGAGAAAGGGATCCATGGCAGAGACCGTGGCTGTTATGACCATAAGGGTGGCTCCCAGGCTGGCTAGAGACGGTCCTCCATCCTGAAGAAGCTGCACTTGCTTCTGTGATCTTTTCCCTTTGTACAGTTGAGATCTGAGCAGGATTTTCTTCCCAGGATTGCCAAACTTTGAAACGCTGCTGGCAGCACAATGTGCTGAGGTAGGACTGTGCCAAAACATGCAAGTCCTAATCTCTCAGGAGTGATGACAGTTTTTTCAGATAGTGTAGGCCAGGAGAATAATGGGATGAGGCAGGAGCAAGGGAGAGAAAAGCATGGTCAGTTGGTTATTTCCTAACTGGTAGTTGTAGAAAACAATATTATTGGGATGCCCTTGGTCAGCTGAAGCAGACCTTGTGTGCTGGTTGTTTTCAGTAACAGAATATTTGTAAAGTCTGAGGACTGGGGCTTCTTTTCATCAAAGCTTTTCAAGATAAGAGCCTGGCACGAAGCCTCGCTGCCCATTCCTTTCTGCTGTCCACCAGCCATCCTCATTTTCTGCAATGACAACTACAATGTCTCCTTCACTGATGTCCAGTTCATCCACGTTCTGAAAGGAAACGGAAAATAAATGTAGTTAGCCTGAGAGCACAGGAGAGCCCAAGCGTGTACCTGGTGAGGGTTTTTTTAATCCTGCTCTTCATCAACAGTCTGCCAGTGTCCTTCTGGTTCTGGAGTAGCAGACAGCGAGGGATTAAGCATTTTTGCTATTTCCTTAAGATCCTCAAATTTCCCCAGCCTCCATAGTGTCTCCTCCTGCACAACCTGATGGTTTTATCACTGGGGAAGTCCAGAAAGGGTTAAACACCATTCTCCTAAACCAGCTCACAATGACCTGCATAGTCTGCAGGTGTTGCTAAATAAAACAGAGCATGGCTTAATTCCTAAGGGGGATAACAGTGCCTGTGCTAATCCATGCCTGAAATAGGTCTCTCAGTTCTTTTAGCAGGGAACAGCAGTGACCAGTGGGGGACAGTGACTCTTGTACAGTGATGACTTTCATCCCCAGACAAATGCAGTAGTTGCAAATAAGCTCTCCCTGAGCTCCCAGGCAGCCATCAGTGTTCAGTGGTGCTGTCCTATTTTCCATAGGAAACCATTTTGCTGCCCACAGTGTAGTAAATAGAAAACAGGCTTCCAGAGGTGTTTGAGGTGTCAGCTAAAACTAAATTTAATGCACCTGAGTAGGCAAGAAGGGACTCAAAAAATGAGAGGCCTCAATATACTAAATACACAATATACTAAAGGTAGTAACAGGCTCTTTTCTCAGCAGGGAGTATTCCTTTGTGGCACAGTTTTAAGGGACTCCTGGAGTAACAAGGTGATCCAGTAGTCTCCTTAGGAGAGCTGCCATTAACATTGAGGTGCTTTCAGCTGTGCTTGCATGAAATTTCATGTAGATAATAAATGAAAGTTTAAAATGAAGCAAAAAAAAACCCCAACATTGAATAAAAGGTGTCGGAATACTGCTGTATCTAAGGGAAAGTGCTCCTTTTGAGCTTTTTCTCTGTTTTCACAATTTATCTGGCTATCTATTTTGGTACTGTCGCATTTCTTCAACGTTGGCTGTTTGTGCCAGGTCCCTTGATGTGAGGCTCTCTCTGCACTAAGACATAAGACTTCCTGGATGATGTTTCTTCTGCTGATCTAAAGCTAATGAAAGGAACCTTTAAATTGATATGTAAAGCAAGTGGGGCTGGAGTCCAGGTTCTGGAGTCCATCTGAATTAGCAAATATTTGTAACCAATCCATTCACAACCTTTTACTAATGGTATTCTGCCTAGTTAGGACTGGAGTCAGGGAGAATTCAATATCCCAGTTAAGGATGCAAGTTGTTCTCTTTAGCAGTCTTTTGTTGGCAGATGAACCACGTCCATGTGATTCTGCAGCTTGCAACATGGAATTACAGGGAAAGAATGTCCTTTATGGGATTCTGTCTTCTCCAGCATGGAGAACCAGCATGCTAAACTGGAGCAGGACAGATCGTGTCCCTGGCTGTAAAAGGATGGTAACATCTCCTTCACTTGGGGAACACTTTCAAGATGTTTCAATCACTTATTTTAAATGTGATGCTATGAAGTATTTATTTTGAAGCCTTTTTTTACCTGGGCTGTGTAGTCATAAAGTACTCTGTAGTCCTGTGACGACGTGATCCCAGCTTTTTCATTTACAAAAATGGATGCATAGACTCCGTCTGTTCTCTCTGCAAGGGGGGAAAAAATAAAGAAGAAATACCCACCACAGAAACAGAGTTCAGTTGCTTATAAATGTGTGGGATCATATGCAAGAGTTCACAAATACAAGGGTTTTTGTTCTCTCTCTGCCTGGAGATTCACATGTATAGAAAAGCTGCTGTGAACTGTAGGTAAAGACTTGCACAAAAACTGACCCCCATTGATGGGATGACAATACACCCATTGAACTTTGTGGGAGATCAGAAACTAGCTTCAGCCTCAGGTTGGGAAAAAAATTTCCCCTGGTAAAACACAATCCAAGTCATCCAAGGAGGGAAACACTGATTAAAATGGTTTAAAAATGTTGCTACTGGGGGTATAAAATTCTAGCAGTTCCATGGCTCACATAGGACTTTTCCTCTTGAGAAAAATGGAAAATAGTGTGCCAATGGGTCACCAGACATTTTCCAGTTGTTTATATAGTTCTCACATAGCTGTTTGTCATGGACATAACTTCTTTTTGCAGCTGTTTTGTTTTAATACAGCTTGTTTTAATTAGGGAAACTTCTCATTTCTTCACAGTATCTGTCTGGGAGCTTCCCCTGCTCAGAACCAAATGGATTAAGAGAGAGTCTGGGCTGTGTTTCTGGGTGCCCAGGCAGGCAGGTCTGACAGAAGCAGTTGATTTTAAAGCTGTTTGAAAGCAACTTTTCTTTTGGTAAGAGCTACAGTTAAAATGCTTTTGTTTACTATCAAAACAATGAAAATATAATAAACTGTTACCTTCTACATAGTAAAAATACTGTGTTTTAAATATCACCTGATAAATTCTAGTTATAAGGATTACAAGACAGCAGTGAGTTGAGATGGTTATTTGTATTCATAAGCCATGTGCCTGGTGTGTTAAAAATTTTATGTATTCTCTGGGGCTTTTTCGTGGTAGCTGTGCTACACAAGGAGAAAACTAATATCTATGTCACACTGCTGCTCTGAATGTGCAGGCCCCACCTGCCTAGTTTTTGAAGACTATATGGATTATTTGGCTCTTTAAACTGGGCAATTCATTTAATGCACATCCAAAGAAAATTAATTTTCAGACTGCTCTTGCTTGTCATCATGTGAATATCTGCTGTACATTTCTGATCCATATCAAAGCCTAGTTTAGCAATATGATCTAAAACAAACACATCTGGTAAACTGCTTTCCTGCAGAGCATACCCAGAGGAGGAGCTGAAGGAGTGGCAGTTTCCGTGTTGTTTCTGCTGCTCCCATGCAGAAGTCCAGAGAATCTGCAGAACCAAGAAAAGCCAAAACCAAAATGAGTGAACAGGTCTGGGTATGAGCATTCCTTCATCTCAGCTCTCTGACTCAGCCTTCCCTCCATCTGCTTCACAGAGTAGATGTCACCTCTTCCCATGGCCTTCTATTTTCTTTTATGCTGTAGATATATTTATCTTCCTTTAAAAATGTATTTTTAAAAATGCAGCAGACTGTTGAACCATCAGCTTTCACTAAATTGTGCATGAAATGCAGCAGATAATATTTTTTTGTAGAGCTGAAGGCTCATGGTGTGAAACTCCAATTATTTCACAGTGTTAAAATGATGCAAATTGTCAGTTACTTTTAAGAGATTAACATCTCTTTATGTTTAAGGAAAACCCTGATACAATTTAAAATACAGAGCCTGTGTAACAAGCCTTTCTAAAAGCTATGAGTTTAAGTGAATTTTTATTTTAATCTATCCCTAGTTATTTCCTTTATCACAGCTGGATACTGAAGGCTAAGTAAAGTGAGAAAATGGGTTAGGATTCTCAAGCAGAGATAGAAATAGCACTGCATGCTTAAGGCATATTTAAAGGGTCTGATTTTTCAGCTAGCAAACATTCAGTTCTTCTGGGAAATTGATATCCTATCTCAAGAGTTCCTGAAAGACTCGGGCTGAGTTTTTCTAGGCTCCTTGCCCATGCTGCTCACAGTTGTGTTCTGAATGGCAGTACAATTGTCTTATGTAACAGCACAGGATGCAGCATTGAATTCATTATTAGAGAAGATCCAGTTTCCATCTGAAAAGCAAAGTATTGTGTATAACCCTGACCAGCTCACTGGCAAGCCAGGACCACATTTCAAATAGGAGATCACTGCCTGCTTCCTGTCTTTGCCATTTCATAGGGCTTGTTAAATTATAAATCTCTTCTGCTTTAACTGTGATGCCCTCCCTCTTGTGAATTTGCCATTTTAGTATAAAATATTTAAACCAATAGAGCCACCATGCTCTTCTGCTACTATAACTACATCCATGGTCTAACATTTACCAGCAGAAATGGATCAGAATAAGGAAAATTGCCTCTCTAATCATCACAATTTTTCTGCCCTGGGTTTTCCCCCTTGGATCCAGGTAGAGAGAGCAGTTCTTTGTTCTGCTCAGCTGAGTGGTGCTGTAAGCATGAGGAATTGCCCCAAAGGACAGCTCTCCCAGCCTTTGTCCCAGCCAGATTCACCTTCACCCTCCCTGGAACAAACTGGTTTTGTTGCTACGTGCCCTGACTCAGTAGGAAAGAGGAAGTGAGTGACTGTTACCCATTGCTGGCCGAGTAAATTGTGTGATGAACTCATCCCCTGTCCCTCTTGCCACTAGGGCAGGGCAAAATTACTGACTCAATTTCAATACCTTTACTTATTCTATCAGGTCACATTTACTGATACATAGTTACCTCGTGCTACAATGAAGGAAGTAATAACTTTCTGTGTCGTGTTTTATCATCATCTTATAGGTGTGGAGAAATCCCCGTTGTGGGAACTGATGTTTGCCACTCACCTCTTCATCATCCCACAGGAGTGCGTGGGGCTGCTGCTGTGCCTGTTGGGTTCTCTGCTGTAGTAGTTCTCATACCCTATGGCATCTGCAACAGGGCAGTAAAAATGAGAGGTTCAAACAGGAAACACTGAGAAAACATTGTTTTTTCCCTGCCAGAATGTGACCTGAGGCTGCTGGAGCAAACTGCAGGGCAGCGCCTGTCTGCCCTCACCTGGAATGTGGCTGGAGCAGCTCAGGGGCTTGACAAAAGCCATTCCAGTGCCTGTAAACAGCCGTGGCCCTGGTGGGAAGAGGTCCTTGGCCTGAGCTGAGGCCTGAAGGCCCCATTTGAAGAGCTGTGACTGCCCTAATGAGGAAGGCAGTTTCTTATATTGCCTCAAAGCTCAGGATTTAAGGGGACAGAGTATGGTCATTGTGAGCCCTAAACTGTGTTCATGATAGAATTTGCTGCAGTGCATTTTGTTTCTATTTTCCTCAGTGGATCCCGTCAGGAATTTTTGTCAGGGTTGGGGAGGTTTCCTGCAGCAATAACGAGCAGTTTCCTGATGTGTGCTTGTGTGTTTCCCCACCTTTCATATCTCCCCCATCTGTCTCCTGAGAGCTTATTTGCTGTTTACCCAGAGATATTTGGGTTTTGTTCTCTCAAACACATTTAGGTTGCAGTTCCTTCACTCTCCCCTATGGTGTCGTTAAGGGTGAAATTAAGAAATTTCCAAGTGTAACTTTACAGATGAAATAGTTACAGATGGATAGTTCCAGATCCTTACAGCTGATGGCCACACACCCTTTCTGTCCGTTCGGTGCGAGGGCCAAATAAACAGGAACAAAGCCCAAGTGTTTTATCTCAGCCCTGATAGCAAGTATCTTCTGAAAAACATTGGACTTGGGCTAAAGGTTGACATTCTCACACTCTGTCAGCCATGATAGTAAGCAGAGCAGGCACATAGAGCTAGAGAGTGTGAAGAATCCCTCCAAATAAGACTCACAATAATTGGGGAGTTTTCTGACCAATTTAAAGGTCTCCTGTTGCCCTTCTGCATTGTCACCTTGGTGCAGTTTCCAGTTTACAGGGCATTGTGAGATTGGGTAGAAAAGGAGCAAGACCATCAAGAAGGTTTGGTCAGGATGCAAGCCTTCTGCCACACAACGCAAAATTACACGTGGGTTTCCTCCTGCATTTTGCAAATAACAGCACAGATCAACAGCTCACTGTGTGCTACATTGCAAACTCATTACCAGAGCTGTGGAGATATTAGGATATTACTTCCAGAACACATCATTTTCTAGAAGGTGGCAAAAATAAAAACAACAAAAAAGCAAGTCAGGTTTTTCTTTGCCTTTCATAAAGCTCTCAAGGGTTTTTTCCACCTAGTTCTTATTTGAAATGACTCTGACATAGCCAAGAGCTTTTTGTAGAAATTTCCTAGGAGACTGGAGAATGACAAATCTTTTTTTTGGGAGGAAAACCAAAAAATAAAAAAACCAAGCTAAGAATTACACATTTCTTAGTACACAGAAGTTGTTTAACACTGTTGCAAGGCACAGTTCTCCTTTCTGCCACTGAAAATGTAATTTTTCCTGGGTAAATTATCCTGTATCAGTGAATTTAAATCCCCTATATGAAGAAGAATAAACTATAACAGCAAAATAGCATCCAGTGCACCAGTACCATACATTAGTTTTTAAAAATTCCCCAAATCCCAGTTTTTAACCATCATAAGAATAATGGCAAAAAGGCTGAGTGAAAAGCAGGCTTCAGATAGCTCAGTGCTGAGTTAGTGGCAGCACCCAGCTCTACTGAGGAAGGTTCTGGGGTAATTCCTGCCAGCTTTGAGCTCTGCAGTGAAATCAAAGGGATCAAACTTGTTCTTGTACAAACTAATTATTCCCAGGGATCAGGCCTTCACACCACTGGGTTTGTATCTGTACAACTCCTAGCATGGAAGGGTTTTATGTAACTATCTTGTGTTGCCTGTTGAAATACTCGGGAGTGGTTTGTGTATGGCCATATGACACATTAGACAGCTCCTTTCCTGTGGGGTGTTTGGAGAACTCCTACCCTGGAGCAGCAGGTTTTCATTTTACTGCTGCTCTTGCCTCATGCTGTGTCAATCTCCATTTCAGCCCAGAGGTTTTGAGTAGTGAAGTCAAGGAAAAGGCAGCTTTGGCTTGAATGGGCAGAGCCTGTGAACCTTACAGCAGTTCCGTGTGCTGGGGCAAAGCCAATTTCGTTCAGAATTTCCCCAGCCAAAGTCTTGGCTTATGCAAACAACTTCTTGAGAGCAAAAAATTTGTTATTCCCCATTGGGCATGTGGAACAGAATAGAAAACTCTGTCTTCTCTGTGCTGCAAATGAAGAGGCAGCACCTCTGTCAGGGGCACACTGGGGTGTAGTTACTTGGTACATTGGCTGTGTCTTGCCACCAGTGCAGGAAGTTGCCATTTCTCCATTTCTGCAAGGCAATTTGCCACTGCCTTAGCAGTGTCAGTTCAGCTGTACTGTGAAATGAGCCTGGCAGCAAAGCCAAAATAAGTTTTTTCTTCTTTAGAGGGTTATTTTTAAGCTGGATCCTTCTGCTTACCCACTAAGAACACCACACAGGCAGCATCGGCAGCACAATGTGGGGGAAGTGAGCCATGGAGGTGGGAATGAAAAGTTGGAGCAGAAACTGCTCCAGCTGGTTTCACCTCCCAAGTACATGTACTGCAGAAGTCATCCAACATGATCAGTAGGAATAATTACCTGGAGGTTGTGTTCCTGTCATTTTTGTCTTAATGAAGTAGTCTATGTCTGACTCTACAACACAGTTCTCCAAGCTGACCCGAACCTCTTCATACAGCTACAAAACAGAATTCAAGAGTTTAACTTCTAACATTTCACATTGAAATAACAAATACCGCTAGTAATTACAATTGCTTGTAGTAATTGTCCCCTTAAGAAACACTTTACACTTGGTACATTTCTGACCTGGCTGATCTTTAGCCTGTCCCCTGTACCAGTATTCTTTTAAACACACCTGTTTGTTTGTGCTCTGGATAGTCTTTGAAGAGAGCAGGACAAAGGCAGCCCAGGACTTTTCAATGCAATAAAGAAATTAATAGCAGGAAACAACCATTCAAAGTCAAATCTAGTGTATTCTTTACATCTTCCAGTTTTGAGGCCATGACTGGATGCCTTTTTTGAAATCGTGTCAGAGCCCAGATATACTCAGCTGAGTGTTTTGGTAGCAGGAAGCATTCCCCAGCAAACCAAGGAGGACACATGTGAGTGCCACCAAGCATGACACAGACTGTCTGCATCCAGAAATGCCATCTGCTTTATATCTAGAGAGAACAGGAGTGAGATATTCCCCCGGAGCCCGCACTGCAGAGAAGGGCAGGCTGTACCTCATCATCCTTCACACACTGCATGGACAGCTGGTTGCAGTGCACCCATAGCGAGTTCCTCAGTATCGTGATGCGGTCGCACTCCTGGAGCTGGAAGACCTAAAGCCAAACAGGAAATGTGATGTAGCCTCGTGGCACTGAGTTATTTGCTTTGCAAGCTGGGACAGGGCTGGGGATGCAAACCTGTTCTGAAGGCAGCATTTTAAAGGATGTTTTCTCTGTGGAGAAACTACATCTACTGTTAGCGCTCAAAAATTTGTTCTAATTGGCTGCACCAAATTAAAGTTATATTTTAGAGACAAAAGCAAAGCAGGGGGAGGAGTCCAGATCTGCATTTGATTGCTACCTCTGCTGTTGAGGATTTCAGAGTCAGACTCCTCTCTGCCTATCACACTGAAATCTTGATGTTTAACAGATCAGTACTGGTATGAAAGGGTTGTATTTATGCTAGAGGTAGACCCAAAACTATCCACCTCTGCCATATAAAATGTCTCTCTAAACTTTTCTCTTTTGAAAGTACTTGAGGCTCTCTGGAGTTGACTCTGCATATCGAAGGTGATGATTAAATATTTTTGTGGTAAAGAGTGTCTTCACAGTTACTCCCTTCATCTGTCTGGCTTCCTCATGTTGCTGCACTGCTTAGGAAGAATGAAGGGAGCAGAGAGAGAAGTGTGAACCAGTCTGGGGGAAGGGCAAGAGGCAGATAAGCTCTTTCTTTAAAAACTTTAAAAAAACCCAAATCACCCTGATCTTTACGTTGTAATGTTAAAAGTAGAACAAAAAGTAGAACAGAGTTTTGGTTTTCTATGAGGTGTGAAAATCTCAGACGCTTCCAGCCATCTGTCTCCATCTCCATTTGCTAGTAATTATGTGCAGAACACCACAAATGTATACAACATTCAGCAGAACGCTCAGTTGGGTATGCTGCCTGCCATCTAATAACTTATGGACTAAAAAAAAACCAGAAAAATGAATCTGTCAAGGGAGTAACCTGCTGTGGGGACTGGTTTCTGAGAGTAAAAGCTTTTAAAGAGAACCTGCAAGGTGGAGAATGAGTATTTCAATACTTGTTCTGAACAGAAAGCCTGTGGCCCTCAAGGCTGCTGAAACAGCACCAGAGACAAAGGGGAATTTTTCAGGTAAATGGTGTCTTATCAGGAAATGCAGTTAATCCAAGAGGGAAGTGTAGTGACTCTGGGCTTTTAAGCCCCTGTCAGCACCCAGAAAAACACAGCTGGTGTTGTGTTTGACAACATATTTTTCCCATATTGCTGGAAAACTGAGGCATTCCATAACAATGTGGCACAGCCCCTGTGACAAAGGCCCCCTTGTGCTGCCGCTTGCCAGCCAACATTTTCATACTGTGGTTGTTAGAGATCCAAGCAATCCCAGCACTTCCAGATTGCCCACTATGCAGCCACAAGTGTAGGGTTTTAAGCTGCTTTTTGTACTAATTACTAGTTTTAAAAAAGCCCAAAGAGTACCAGTGCTTCTCTCTACAAGCACATTTAAAAGAAGGCATTAAAGATGCCCTTCCTTTACAAAAGGCTGTTTGGATTAAGCAGTGGGCAGGTCACAGCTCTGGGATCTAGTCAGGATTTAGCCATATGGGATTAAAAAAGAGTGTGAGGTTGTGGAATGCTTTGCTGGTTTATTGGCTTTTTAAGAAGAGAGAAAATATGCATCTTTAGAAGACTAAGGCTTGGCATAATATCTGTGGAAATGTCTGTGCCACTTGTGGGGCTTTTCAGTTTTCTCAGGGAATATTTAAGAGGAAGCAAGAACTGGAAAGGTGTCCTCCTGGCATTTTATTTTATGTGGAAATAAAGCTTGCAACAAGTAAATATAGCAAAATCAGACTTTAGCAGTTGGGCAAATGTACTTGAAGGATTACTGTGATGAAATGTGTGGCAGATTTGGATGCCAAATAGTTCCTGTAAATTGTTGTGCAAAACCTTATAGCCAAGTGCAAATCTCCTTGTCCATCCTCAGTAGAATAGAGACTTCTCTACCAGCACCTTTCAACTGAAAGTTTATTTCATGGCAGAGGACAAATATTCTTGCAGGTGAATTTAAAGTGCTATGAAACATAAAGAGTGACTGGAATATGTACCAGTTCATATATTGCTCCATCTCTCCCACCTCTGCACGTATTCCCCTCCTTTATTGTCACATGGTTATGCTGACCAAGCAAGGAGAGTGTCAGTGAGACAGGAGCAGCTATGTCTAAATAAGCTCTCATTTTTGCAGTAATTTTGCAAAGACATCTGCTGAGACTCCACATAAAGCAAACAGCAAAACCCTTGGGATGATATTTCAGGCCTTAGACTGAAATCTTCCAACTGGATAAAATAAAGAGTGTGCAAACATTGCTGCAAAAGTCAATGTTTACCTCGCAGGTTTTGATATGTTCCTGTTCCCACTCTGTCCTGACCTTATCCAGCTGCTCAATGTTCTGTTTGTACACGTTCTCTGTAAACACAGACACAGAACAGAAACCCAACAGTCAGGAAGAAAATGATACAGCCTTTCTCTCTTTCCTCCTATTAGGCCTTTCCTGTTATTCCTACACTTTGGGCCTGTGGTTTGCTTGAGTTTCACAAGAATATATGAGCTTGGAATTGGTGGGGCACAATAATTATTGTTTTTTTTCCTTTGTAGCTATATACTAGATTAAGGATGTTCTGTATAGTTGCAGGTAATTTATAAACTTTACAGTAGGGATAATACAATTCAGAGATTAAGAGCCTGGACCATGCTTGGGCACCATTCCATTCCAGGCCAGGCAGGGTTGGCTGGCTTCACACCATGTGACTTGGTGTAAGCTATTCCATGAGTAGGGAGGGACAAGCCTGAGCTCCTGAGCCAGCTCAGGTGTGTGCTGGCCTGTCCTTCTGGGCATACAAACATTTGGAGATCACTACTGTGCTCATGAACATGGGGATGGGGGATCTGATTTAGGCTGCCTTGGGACAATTTGAGTGTCTCCTGTGCTTTCAAACTTGTTTCAAGAAGAGCTTTTCTTCCCTGGGTGAAGTCCCTAAAGCAAATCTTCTGTAAATTCTTAAATGCAAGCAGGACACTGGCATTTCCACAAAGGGGAGTGAAAGCCGATGACTGTCAGGTTGCTGCTCGTTAGAGGCTTCTTCATTAATCTTTGCCCCAAAAATCTTTGGGACTTTGGGAACCCTGACAGCTTGGTGATTTGGATGTGTTCTATCAAGATCCTGTGCTGGTAAAATCCTGTTTGCTGAGAAGAATCATAATTCAGCTGCAAGCAGCATCACCTGCTTCATTTGCTGCATCTCTGCATTGCTTGGCTTTGTTCTGACTCTGAAACAGGAAAAGAAACACCCCAAATTAATTTCTGACATACTCTTGCTTCTGCCCCAGTTTTTTGTGCTGCCTGCTCTGTTCCCCTCTAGGGGAAAGGCTCTAACTTGCAAGCACTTCCTGACTGTCTCCCCTCTGTGCACCGTTCTGCTGAATATGTGCTATGGAGAAGGGACTAGAATTTCCCAGCTTCAAGAAATTTAAGGGAAAGCTTTCCAGTCAGACATCCCTGCCAGAGGAGCTCAGTGCCAGTGTGATCCAACCTGAAGCTGTGTCTGCTGGCTGAGTTGTATTTTCTCAATTGTTTGATGTGCTTTTCTAATAGATATTTATAAGCAGAAATAAATGGCAGTTAAAATTCTTCATCTTTCAAGCTTCTCATATAATGCTCAGACGAAAAGCACACAGCTTTTAAAATACTTTGCAAATGCCAGATTATTTCCCATAACAACTCTGAAGCCTAAAAGCAAAATTCACTCTAAGTAGAAGTTCCCTGCTTTAAAAACCTGCAGCTTTTAGCAAATGAGAGAACAGCCATCACTGATAGGTTTGTACTCGCAGGTCTTTCTGCACAGATGGTGATGACAGCACAGTAATACACTGCTCTAGACATCAGTGTAATACATTCTTCCATCCTGCCCTTGAAGACAAGGCTCAGGTAGGGGTTCTTACGATCATATTCCTCATCACAGCTGGCTGGGAAACGTGTAGTAAGCTGGGAACAGAAGCTTCATTCTTAGTTGCTTCCTTGCCCAAACTGTTTGCAAATGCTAAGCAGAATTAAACAGCTTGTGAGCTGCCTCTGTGTATTTCCAACGTGCTGACATGTGCAGGGAAGAAACGGCAATGGAGCACCCTGGGATCCTTCTGCATGAAAGGAGCTGGATCAGGTATAGCTGCCATTGAAGCTGTGAAATGTTCTGGTGTCATTTTGGCAGGGCCGGGATTCCATCCCCTCTTTGCAGCTAAGCTGCAGGGGTTTGCTCATCAAAGATTAGGAAATGCTGGAAATAAAATGTAAAGTTCTGATGCTGTTTTAAGAGTCTCCACACATCCCCCCTACCACTCCTTAAGATGATTTTTGATCCTTTTTGCTTACACTGCACTGCTTTTTATCGAGCCAAAGGGAGTTCATTTATTTTGTTTTCTCCATCTGCTTCCCTGTAAAATGTTCCCATTAAAAGTTAGTGAATTGTCAGTTACAAGTATCAAGACGATGCAATGAAGGACTGCAGTGCCTTAATTTCCAACGATTTATTTTTGAGTCTGTAAATTTAGTTGAAATTAAACTCACCATAAGGAGAAAAATGTTGAGGAAAAATATGCATTTTAATGTAAGATGCTCTGCCTACTAAGTGTAAGAGACCAAAGGGCAAAACTAACTGCATGACATATTTTTGACTTGTTTCTTTTTCTTAATGAATAATTTCAGAGAAAAATCTCTTTCTGTTTCCTTTCAGGGTTCATAGAACAATTGGATTACAGCCTGGGATAAATTAATTAGATAACTTAGTCCCTTCCCACAGGATTCTTTGGGGTTAATTTGAATACAGAGCAGCCCCTGGCATCCTATAGATTGGGTTGGTTAATTGTATTCTCTTGTACCTTGAGAAGGTAAACCCCCAGTTTTCCCTCTGAAGAGCAGTGTAATCTCAGGTACCTTTTCTGTTTGCTTTTGGTTGCCTGAAGCGCTGATGCGTTCAAAGGACTGCTCGGCCTCATCCGCCTCCCTGCACTTCTGCTCGTAGGTCTTCTTGGACTGGGTGGAAATGAAACCAAACATGAGGGTTTGGCTGGGGGAACAAGGCTGGCTTTCCCCCACAGTGACGTTCCAACCACTTTCTCATTTGTAGTTTGGAGGAGCAAATCAGTGCCCAGTTTGGGCAATAGAAAAAATCCTAATGCATAAGGAGGTAGAAAAATAGAACTGAAACATTGGAGTAGGGGTTGACAGAATGAATTGTATCCTTTTCCTGCAGCCCTGAAATTGTTTGCTTTGTACAACTGCAACTCCCTGCAGGGGTCAGGAATGCACAGGCTGCTCTACCACCAGTGGTGCATCAGGCATCTGCCCGAGCAACCACGGACAGATGAAACTGGGAGCCCGCGTTCCCAGGGTGGCCATGGGGTGGGTTGTCATGTGTTGCCTTGGCCATTGCTCCAAGCTGTGAGGCAGAGCCTGCACCCCATAGGCAACAGTCTTGGTGCAATTCTCAGAAGCAAGAGGAATCTTTATTTGCACCAAAACATCTCTATATCTTAGAGATGTACTTAGAACAACCACTTTTCAAAAAAATAAATTGTTAGTATACTTCCAGCTGTAGCACTGACAGGTCTGCAACTACTTTTCTTTAGAGGCAGTTGCCCATTGGAAAGCAAACCCAGCTGCCTGTAGTTTCTGTGCCTGCAAGCTTTCCAGCTGGAGAGGATTCCTCCTGCCTACAACATTCCCTCAGTGCTCTTAAAATTGTACTTACACACACTGAAAAATTATATTTACTCCTCTAAGTATCCTTGCCTAGAAAGAATGAAATCCTGTTTGACCTGTTCATACTGTATTAACCTTCTGGTGACTTTTCAGTGGGTGCAGCAGGGAAGATCAGCTTCCTCCTCACAGCAGGAACGACATCTTCCCTCCTTCACACACTCTTGCACACTCACACAGCTTTGACCTTTCTTTAAATAGAGGTACATGTGATACAGATTTTACTGGAGCAAATTGCATCAGGAAACCTGCCCAAGCCCTCCCTGCTTACCTCCATGGTTTTCTTATAATGGGACAGTTTGCTCTTTTGCATCCGCTCCATTGCAGACTCGTACTGTAAGAAACACACACAAGTCAGCATTTCTTGGACTTCTTCCTCCCATTTCCACCAGCAGGATTAGGAGAACCATAGCCAGGGCCTTTCTGTAAACCACCTCCCTGTGGGGAAAATGACTTCACTCTGCTTTTATAAATGACAGGTTTCTAAGTGATACAGAGAGCATCAAACTGCCAGGTAAAAAAATAATCCCAGATAATTCTGCTTTGGTGGTTTCAATTGATAGCAGGGAGGATATAGATCTTCATTTTCTTACTCCCTTTATTTTTCTTAAGGAGATGACATAGTGCAAAACCCAGTCACAGTGGGCTCTGCCAGCAGGGTTCCTTTGCCAGTGCCAGAGCTTGATCCCACATCTCTGCACACCAAACCACTGTCTCACCCACATAAGCACAGGTAATTGCCCATTTTCAATCCAAAAAATTCCTGTCTCTTTTATATTCAACTGCTTCTGGCAACTTTATGTTCAGTGTGATTTGATTTCCATGCCAGAGTCATTTGGGCAGTGTTGGAAGGACAGTCCCAGTCTGGATTCCCTTTCATGGCTTTAGTTGTGATATGCCCAGCTTTATGTGACAGTGAGATATGCTTCTACTGGCAGGGGATGGATTTCTTCAGGGGGACTTTCTGTCCTTTAATCTTTACATTCTGTTCAAGAAAAACTCTCTCCAGGGCTACCCAGATGCTTGTTTCACATTGGGCACAGTCCTGAGACAGCTACAGAATAACACAAATCCCAGCATTTTGGGAGGTTACCAAAACTGCTGACACCATCCAGCATATCTAGTGTTGGCTTCCTCACAGCCACACACTGGACAGAGAAAAAAGCTTAGCTAAGACTCCAAAGCAATTTTTCCCTTTCTTTTCACAGGCCCCTCTAATTGTTCCCAGTCGAGTTACAGGCTTACAGTTCTCAGCAGGAAGGAGCCTCCTTGCACATTCCAATGGCAAAGGGAATGGGGGACAAACACTGATGAACCTGGTGCCCACTGTCTGTCTTTTAATGCCTTATTTTCTTCATCATATCACTGCCAACCTCAAATCTCAGTAGCAGCACTGGTTTCACCCACTTTCATATTCAGAATTCTTTGCTATTCCAAGTTCTTGTGTGTCAGGGGCTTGTAGACACATGATTTTTGTGGCACTGGACACTGGTTATATACATTTTCACCTGTTTAAAATTAGCAAAGAAAAGAATATTTATTTTACTCCTCCATTGTCATAGTACAGCTGGTCTATAGCTGGACAAAATAAATCTGGCCATAACATAAACCAAATTTGGCTAGCCCGGCTTGTTCTAGAAAAGTAGAACAAGTCCCTGGGTGAGCAATGATAAGATAGATTAGAACACAAACAGGGGACCCTCAGCTGACTGCATTCATAAATGCATTCATAAATACTTCATAAATACAGACACATCATGGGCCAGAGATCTGGGTGGTGGCAGATCCCAACCAATCTGCTATCCTAAACCCAAGAAATTCAAACCCCCTATAAAAGAGGTGACTATAATAAATTCAGTGCTACTTGTTAAAGACCCTCAGCAAGTTTATGTCTTTGGTTTCCAACCAGCTACCTGTTAATACTCCATCACTCACTGCTGTCAGTTTGTCTTCAACCCCATGGATTCAGAGAAGGTGTGAGAGTGGTCACTGCTGTCTCTATTGAGAGCTATTTTTCAAGAGACTTAGGGCTTGGTAAGGTCATAGGGGATGAAATGATCTTAAATGTACTCAATTTTTTTATTATACAAGATCAACTAGATGCTACTTATTCCATATCTTTGGGATTCAGCATATACTGCTGTTGCATTCAGCATGTCAATCATTTGCTTTCATGTTTTTAAAAGTTTGTGTTACACCTTTATTTAGTGCATATTGGAGATTGTGCAGGGTCATATCAAAGAAACCCATTATCAAGGGTATAAAAAAGAAAGGAAAGGATTAAGTTCTTACAGAAATAATAATAACAGCATCTGGAGTTACACCAGAAAGAGTAAAAGGGACTAAAGCCTCTGGCTTCTGAGTTTGGAGCACTACTTTATTTCCAGCTGGGATCAGAAAGAGATTTTTGTTCCACAGTCTTGTCTATAGAGGGAACAGGGCATGCTGGTAATGCTTTGTCATCTTTTGCAGAATTCCCAGCCTTGGACCATTGACCCAATCTGTTTCAACATTTCTCTAGTTTCTCACCTTTTTTCTCTGCTCCTTCTGCCTTTCTCGGAACTCCTCTATTCCTTTCAGTTCTTCCTTCAGCATTACTGCCAGCTGGATATGAGAGTTTCCAACACTTTCAATTTCTAAAGCAAATCAGAATTCATATTCAGTCAGTGGGAAGATCTTGAAAGATAAAGTCACATTTTTTAGATGTTTCTGTGATACAGCTGCCCTGTGAGTTGTCACAAGCAGGGCAGCCTTGTGTTTCTGCATGCACTGACATTGCTGAGGATTCAAGAACAGAGTGACTGTGTTTCTTCATGGCCCCATTTGCTCCAGCTGACCCCTTGCTTTGGTTTGAGGTGCAGAGGGAGGGAAGGGGCTCTGGCCTCCATCATCCCTGTGTGTGCTTTGCCCTGGCTGTGCTGCTGGGCTGTCGCTGCTCTTGGGAGCTGCTGCCAGCAGCAGATGAGGTTGCACGCTGAGAATTTCTAAGGATCAGCCAAGATGGATTGAATTTCAGAGCACCTGGCTGGTGCTGTTTGAAATGGCTGGGAACTGCTCTGTATTTGTCAGCTTCAGTGCCTCTGAAATGGAACCCTGCATTTTCCAGAAATGCTGAGGTCCCCTACCCAGGCCCTAAAAATACCTCAGCACAGCAGCTGCTTTCCAAGAGGGAGTTTTGGTATAAGCAGCAGGTGCTAGTGACCAGGTACAGTGTCCTATTGGCCCTCATGATGCTGCATTCTGTGTGTGTGAAAGGGTGTAACTGAGCCTTGGGCACATTTAGGAAGCTGGTTGGTGTCAGTGGTTTGCAGAAGAGAGAACAGAGTTCTTATCTTGTGACTTGACCCAGACAAAATTTACTTGAAGAACAAACCATTTTCTTTGCCACCAGATTGAGCAGGCATCCTTTTTCTCCCCTCTTTACACTACAGGCTGTGAAAGAAAAGCTGGGAGTGCTGAGGGGAACTGGATGAACACATTGGGTGCCTGAGTTTCCCAGGTCAGAAGAGAACAGGGAAATACTTACGTTGCTTGAGCATCTCAAATGCTGCCTTCAGTGTGCTGTGGGGCAGAAACAAGACACTTTATTAGGCATTGGCTTCTAAGGGTGGGTTGTGAATCAGGGAAAAAACTTTCCCTCAGAATCTCAAAGATCCACATAGAGATAAAACCCTTAATGGCCTTGTAATAAAAGCTGACCATGCTAACAAGCACAATAGCATCAATCTGTTCCCATCAGGAAATGCAATAAAATGCTCCATGAAGCAGGGAATTGCACCACTCCTTCTGTGCACTCTTTTTCTCAGTCACACTGTATTTGTGAATGTTTACAGCCTTTCCTCTCATCTTGCACCTTGCAGGTAGATACGAATGAAACACCAACGCCCGGGGGGAATTGGGGTTTTTGGAGCAGTAGCCTGAAGGGTGGAGCAAAAACTGAAGGGTCAAGTGACCTGAAGGGTTAAGAGCTGCATGTGGCCCCATTCCTGTCCTCCCTCGGTGCCCCGTCCTGCGCCGCAGCAGCGCCTGCACCGCGCCTGCCGAGCATCCATCCATCCCCGTGCGGCTCCATTCCTGTCCCCCGCACACAATCCCGGCCCTGCCGAGCATCCATCCATCCATCCATCCATCCATCCCTCCATCCATCCATCCATCCATCATCCATCTTCCATCCATCATCCATCCATCCATCCCTCATCCATCAATCCATCCATCCTCACTCCATCCATCATCCATCCATCCTCCATCCATCCTCCATCCCACATCCATCCATCCATCCATCCATCCCTCCATCCATCCATCCATCCATCATCCATCTTCCATCCATCATCCATCCATCCATCCCTCATCCATCAATCCATCCATCCTCACTCCATCCATCATCCATCCATCCTCCATCCATCCTCCATCCCACATCCATCCATCCATCCATCCATCCCTCCATCCATCCATCCATCCATCATCCATCTTCCATCCATCATCCATCCATCCATCCCTCATCCATCAATCCATCCATCCTCACTCCATCCATCATCCATCCATCCTCCATCCATCCTCCATCCCACATCCATCCATCCATCCATCCATCCCTCCATCCATCCATCCATCCATCATCCATCTTCCATCCATCATCCATCCATCCATCCCTCATCCATCAATCCATCCATCCTCACTCCATCCATCATCCATCCATCCTCCATCCATCCTCCATCCCACATCCATCCATCCATCCATCCATCCCTCCATCCATCCATCCATCCATCATCCATCTTCCATCCATCATCCATCCATCCATCCCTCATCCATCAATCCATCCATCCTCACTCCATCCATCATCCATCCATCCTCCATCCATCCTCCATCCCACATCCATCCATCCATCCATCCATCCCTCCATCCATCCATCCATCCATCATCCATCTTCCATCCATCATCCATCCATCCATCCCTCATCCATCAATCCATCCATCCTCACTCCATCCATCATCCATCCATCCTCCATCCATCCTCCATCCCACATCCATCCATCCATCCATCCATCCCTCCATCCATCCATCCATCCATCATCCATCTTCCATCCATCATCCATCCATCCATCCCTCATCCATCAATCCATCCATCCTCACTCCATCCATCATCCATCCATCCTCCATCCATCCTCCATCCCACATCCATCCATCCATCCATCCATCCCTCCATCCATCCATCCATCCATCATCCATCTTCCATCCATCATCCATCCATCCATCCCTCATCCATCAATCCATCCATCCTCACTCCATCCATCATCCATCCATCCTCCATCCATCCTCCATCCCACATCCATCCATCCATCCATCCATCCCTCCATCCATCCATCCATCCATCATCCATCTTCCATCCATCATCCATCCATCCATCCCTCATCCATCAATCCATCCATCCTCACTCCATCCATCATCCATCCATCCTCCATCCATCCTCCATCCCACATCCATCCATCCATCCATCCATCCCCATGCAGCTCCATTCCTGTCCCCCACACACAATCCTGGCCCTGCCACATCCCATCAGCACAGCAGAGGAGCAAACCGTGCCGGGAAACCCGGCCGCACTGCTCGGCACGGAGCTGCTGGGTGCAGCCACTTTGCTCCATGATGGTGAGAGAAATGACGGGTTTGTCTTTACAAACAAGCTGTGGGGCTGCTGAATGAATGAAACTATCACTGAGAAATAACAGAAACAATGGGATGGATTCCACTGAAGGATGAAAGAGGCACTGAGGAAGAACCACAAATTCCACAAGAGTTAAGAATTAAGAAGGAATTATGCATTGGGAGGGGGTATCTCAGGTATCAGGCACTCCAGGAAGTCTGTACCTCTCAAGTACCTCAGCCTATGGTGAAAGAGAGAGGGACATGCAGCCAGCAATTAGGATAAAAGGGAGGCTGCACCCTCCAAAAATTTGAGACACCCCAGGGGAATGCCCCATGGCCTCTCCCTTTATTCAAATAAAGTAAAAGGACTCCTCTGTCTCCTTTTTGGACATAAACCTCTGATGTTTGTGGATTAATTTTCCTGACAACAGGGACAGAAGAGGCAACCACAGATTGATGTCCTGTCTTTGGCTAGGGCAGAGTCCAGTTCTAGAAGGCACCAAATATATAGCATAGGTGTGATGAGAGAGCAAAAGGTGTGTAAAAGGCATTTTGAAGTTAATAAATTCCTCTAGCTCTGAATGTGCAGGATGGCAGGGCATGTGCATAGACAGAAGCCAAGGCTGGGGTGTGACTTGGAAGCTTTTCAGATCTAGAAATGGTCTTTTCAAGCCCCAGAGTGTATTGCTCCTGGAAGAAATCAGTTCTAGGCTCTCTGTGGAGCTCTGGTCTGCCCCAGGCAGAGCCCAGGGAAGAGCTGGTGAATGAAGAGCCTCAAGTCTCCCTGGTTACTTGGACAGCCCAGGAGAGGCTGCTGTCACTTCCCAGCCATGTGCACCCACAGATGGGCAGGGAAATCTGCATCTCTTGGGCTTTTTGGGAGCCTTGTGAGGCACAGGAAGGATCCTAATTGCCCTGTGTTACCTTAGGCTGGACATCTGTTTGCTGATCAAAGCTTGCTCTCCCAGCAGTGAGGCTGCTATGCCAGGCATAAGAAAAATGCACAAATAAGGGGAAAAAGGGAAAGGTTGGGTCTGTCCTTAGCAAAAACTGCCTGGAAACCCATTCCAGATCTAGGTTTGTAGAAAGAGAAGGAAAAGACTTTCAGACAGAAAAGAAGATCTTTGATTTTTTTTTCATGTTTCAATTAGATTGTGGTGAATCTCCTGAGATAAGCCTGGGAGAACATCCTAGATTGAGTATTTTTAAGTGTTTTCCTAACAGTACTTATACATTTGAAGTTTATTTTGTAAAAAGTTAGTCTAGTGTGAAATTTTGATGGAAACTAAATTCTCACACCGCAAAGGAAACAAGCAGTATTATTTTCAGCTAATTAAAAGCTTGACATTAAAAGACAAGTTGAATATCAGCAGCAGAGATAGCTTTTTCTCACCTAAAAGATGATTATTTTGAAGAAATAAAAATATAAAAGGAATAAAATTTTCTTTTCCAGTTGGTAATTTCCAATGGGATGTGGGGAATGTGCTAACAACTTCATTCCTGAAACAGGTAAATACTGGAATTAAAAAAATTAGAGGGCACTTGCAAACTGGGCATAGTGTTTGCATTCTATGTTAATTTATCTTTCTCAGAGATTTTTTTCCCTTTGTTGTTGGTGAGTCAAGTTATGCAAAAACTGGCAAATTTGCTATAGTGGATAATGAAAAATAGCACTTTCTCAGTACATATCAAGGACAAAAGCAATTTGCTGCTTTCTTGGATTCCAGGTGCCTGAGCTCCCAGAGCAGTTCATGGCCACAAGCCACCCATGGAACTGTTCTCCTTTTGCTGGCTCTGTGTAAGGCCAAGGGGGTCTCTGGTGTAATAATGCATCTGGCTGTGACCCAAAGAGGGATCAATTTGTCCCCTGCAGGGTCTCTAATGGCCTTTTCAGAAATCTCTGGCCTTTTCCTTCTTGTATGAAGGATTTGTCCAGCCAATTTCATCGCTGCTGACTGGTACAAGCAGATTGAAGTAGATGTAAGTCATTTCCTTCCTTATTTTTATAGTAATTTTCTAAAATCAATGAATTGGATCCTTACATCCTTACAGGGCTTAAGGGGGCAGCAAATATGTCATCATGCCAAATTATACATGTTGGAGTGAATAAATCAATCAAATTTTGACCTGTGCATTCTTCAGGACTCCCTTTATGACTCCTGGGCTGCAACAGCAGTGCTATAGATTTGCTTCTGGATGTTCTGATTGTATCAGTGAAATATTTCAGTGCTTCACAGGGTTTAATGGAAGTGACTCCTGTAGCTGATAAACGAATGAGTTTTAATTCTGTCTGTGCTGGTGTGGATGTACAACACCTATTATCTATTGCTTCTGGGTGGCTTTGGCTTTCTAGTGGGATTGATATGGGCTTCACTCTGAGGCATCCAAAGTGAGGATGTTTCACTCCCCTGGACACTCTGAAAGAATGTTTTACCTTCAGGAGCATTCTGGTGGTAATTGATCTTTTGTGTTTGTCCTATGGCTAAATTAGAAAACCTAGGGTTGAAAACAATTTAAGCAACACTGAAATTTGACAGTTTGCTATTTTTTTTTAATGGTTAACTTCTGAGATTTTGACATACATTCTGAAATACTGTTAAACCACTCTAGCTAAAGACAGAGCTCCAGCCTTCCCTGTGGGCACCCCCACATGGAGAATCCCACAGGTGTCTCCTTGAAAATAAGGGTGCCCACAAATTTACTCTGTGTGTTTGTTAAACGATTCCCTGTTGTACATTTAAAGATTCGATTTGTCAGAATTAATTCTGGGTGGAAACAGGAATGCCTGACTCTGGAACAAGAGGGGCCAGACAGAGGCTGTGCAACAGCCACTGCAGCAACTTCGAGGGGGGTTTGCCATCTAGTGGCTACAATATCCTTAGCACTTTTGTTTGGCTTTTTATGCTTTTTTCTGCTTTCTCTCTC